CCAACAGGGGTTTATAGCCTGGCTGCCAAGGCATTAAGCTATATTTGTTATTTAATTAAGTTATTATATTTGATATATTCTATAGTGTATTTTATTTTTGGCACTCAATAAGAATTTATCATTGAAATGTTCGATTCTGTGAAGATTATTCAAATTATTATGCAACAATTTTATTGTTTAAAATAAAATTATAAATTTAAATTTTAAATTTAAAAATATAAAAGAAGAACATATTTTTCTTTGTTTATTATTCATATTTCGATGGCCAAATGGCTATGGTCTTAGCGGTTGCTTATATTTAAAGTTTTTAACAAATTTTTCAATCAATTCAGAAATAATTATAAAACAGTGCATAAGCCACTGTGCATGCTTTCAATATTTATTGACTTCTCATTATTTATTATTTATTTATTATTTTTATTTATTTATTTATTTTTTTATTAATTCCAGGCATGTTGGCTTTAATAGCTTATGTTTTCACTATTTTATTTATTTATTTAAATACAGCTTAAAAGCAATAAAATTTATAGTTAAGCTTAAGCCTAACTTAATAGATAATATGATTTATAATGAAGATTTTTACAGAAATGAATGGATGAATGATTAAAGATTTAATGGAACTACATTTTATGAATTAGATTTGATGCTTTAAGAAGAAAGGTGGAAGGTGAGAGAAAGGTGAATGGGTCGAGATCTGGGAAGTATTTCTGCCGATAACTGTTAAAGATAAAATGTACCTCGCTCCCCAGTAAAAGAAGTTGTTGATGAGAGAATAAAAAAGGGTTAAGGGGTTAGGTTAGTTTCAGATCTGCTGGAGTTTACTTATGGCTTGTAGTTCTGTGTGTGTTTTTAGGAAGTGGTTGTGGGGATTAATTTTTGGCATAACTATTATTGTATATGCTTACTAATATTTCTTCAGTTACTTAAACTTGTTTTATTTGTCCAAAAATAAAAAATTATCTTGCAGTTTATGGACATAAAAGTCTTCTAAAAGACAGTCTTAGTACAAGATACAATCATATTTCATTTCTTCAAAGTGAAAAGAAGATGAAATTATAACGCAAAGCTACTTCATAGATATTCTTCCATCATCGTGTTTAGCCATTTTGGCAGCAGTTCATTGTGAGAAATTGCTGGAATTTAGGATTTTAGCGCGTCAGTTGGTTTTGGATCTCCATCAATCATATTATCAGTTTTTTGTATTGAAGCGACTAACAATTTGGTTAAATATTGTTTGTTTACTTGCTAGGCCAATATTAATAAATAACTACGATTTTTGTTCATTTAATATAATTGTGAAAATTTTAAAAACATAATAATATTGTTGGTAAAAAAAAAAACTGATATTTGAAGAGAGTTCTTAGACTGTTCTGATAATTACTAAAATATGCATTTGCATATGTTATTTACAGCAGAAAATTGTTGAACAAAATATTGCTTAAATAAAATAGATTTACCTTAAATAATTCAACCAGCCCGCAGCAGAAAGTGTTATTTTATTAGTTGAGAAATTCGTTAAAGCAGCAACTTAATACAGCAATCATAAAAGCATACTATATTCCGAATTAACGTAAACAAGATCGACTTTTAATTCCATTTTATTTTAAAAAAAATATAGTCAACAAAGTGTGTAGGTTTTATTGTTTTATTGTCTTTTTAAATCCTTCATTAAAATGTACAACCCAGTTGTGGGCGTGGATAAATCTCCATGGTGTTGGCAAGTATGGTGCAACTTAATTTAATTGTTAATCCAGTCGTACATCAAATGAAAAGTTGGTAGAGACTGGATTTGGGAATTCACATTTTCGCTAAGTGAATTTAATTCTGTAATTGTGTGTGTATGTATGTATGTATGTATGTATGTACGAGTATGTATGTACATGATGATGATGCCTTAAGCGCGTTATCAGCTGCGCCTTTGCCTTCGTTGTTGCCATTAGCACTGGCCATGTGCAAATCTGTGCAAAACGTATACGCCGCGTGTGCCCCAAAAACGAGCGCTGACATTTACATATAAATGGCTGCTCAAGCATGGGACCAGCCACTGTCATTCAATAACGACAGCGTTCCAGACAACCATATTCATATGCCATGTATCTATATCTAACTCGCACGCAGGCACCCACAAACACACACACAAACACATAGACATTTCCTCATACATACTACATGTGTATGTATGTGGCGGTACAGCCTCACGTGCGACATCGCCATTTTGCCAGCGGCGCCCATTCGGGGTGGCAGTTTTCTTTAAGTGAAGTTTAGTTAGAGAGAAAATCAGCACGATACTTATATAGAGTATATAGAGTATATAATCCTATAGATTTATACTGCCAATCAATGCTCATAAGAGTATGCTATAGAAAAAAATATTACAAATATTTAGCCTCTAATCCGATGATAGTTGGAAAAGTTTGAGAAATGTTTTTGTGTGCTGTTCAAGTTGTTTAGTTGTTACAACTAATGTGCACTTGAAAAAATAACAGCGTTTACATTTGAAGAGAAATGAAAGCTCTAATTAGAGACTGTCACAACATGAATATTAAATAATAATAATAAATGAAATGAAATATTAGTAATTTGTAGTTATGATTTGTTTATTTTTATTAATAAATGAAAAGAAATATTAGTAATTTATAGTTATGATTTATTTATTTTTGTATTCTTAATTTATTTATTTATATACTTATGCTAGCGTTACAAGTACCAGATTACTTTTTTCATTCCGTTTAATTTAATTTAATTTATTTAAATTAATTTAGTTTTATTTGACGTTTTATTACATTTTCTTTTGTCTTTCATTTCATGTGCTTTCTCTTAAGAATGCATTAATAGAGATATAGAAATGATACAATTTTTATAGTTGGTCTGTTCTTTATTTAAAATAAATACTAACTATACTTTTATTTATTCTTTAACTTTACCTTTTGCTTTCATCTTTCATTTCATATGATTTGACATAAATATTAAAATTAAAAATATGATATTATAATAGTTGGCGTTTATTCGAGAGCAATGGAACATTTTCTTTTAATTTTTTCTTTTTAATAATTCTTTAACTTGATATCCCTTTTCTTCTATAACATTTTTAAAACTAAAACGAATTTGTCCTGTCCTTTCAGATTATTTTATTTCGGAAGGTTTGAACCCACTTTGAAATAAGAGTAGCATACTTTTAAGGTTCATACTTAGGTATTTTTCGCGCAGTTCAATTTAAAATCAAAGAACACCTTATATTGATTTATTTATTTTTGTATTCTTAATTTATTTATTTATATACTTATGCTAGCGTTACAAGTACCAGATTACTTTTTTCATTCCGTTTAATTTAATTTAATTTATTTAAATTAATTTAGTTTTATTTGACGTTTTATTACATTTTCTTTTGTCTTTCATTTCATGTGCTTTCTCTTAAGAATGCATTAATAGAGATATAGAAATGATACAATTTTTATAGTTGGTCTGTTCTTTATTTAAAATAAATACTAACTATACTTTTATTTATTCTTTAACTTTACCTTTTGCTTTCATCTTTCATTTCATATGATTTGACATAAATATTAAAATTAAAAATATGATATTATAATAGTTGGCGTTTATTCGAGAGCAATGGAACATTTTCTTTTAATTTTTTCTTTTTAATAATTCTTTAACTTGATATCCCTTTTCTTCTATAACATTTTTAAAACTAAAACGAATTTGTCCTGTCCTTTCAGATTATTTTATTTCGGAAGGTTTGAACCCACTTTGAAATAAGAGTAGCATACTTTTAAGGTTCATACTTAGGTATTTTTCGCGCAGTTCAATTTAAAATCAAAGAACACCTTATATTGATAAATCTGGCACATTTGAATAAACCTTTTAAGGTGTAGCTATAAATTATTTTACTTCACCAAATACCAATAATTTAAAAATTATTTAATGGCATGTTGTCAAAGAGAAAAGTGTTCACAATTTGGAGCATTGAACTAAATAGCCAGCTTGTCTATACCATTACTATTATTTCCATTATGTTTAATATAATTAACGATTTTTAAATACATATCTGCATGTGACCTTTTAAGACAACTCCTATAGGACTATATATACTTGTCATATGACAGGCTATCAGTATTCTTGTTGGTTTGTAATGAATGCAAAGTGAATATTTATTTAATTATTTATTAATAATAGAATGTATAAATAATTAGCTGCTTGGCGAAAAGATTTGACAGCAATTAAAAAGTTGAATCTGCGGGGGATAGCTTTATTGAGGAGCTCGACTTCTCTCACTACAAACAAATTTTTTAAGTTTAGTTTTCAGGGTGTTATATTATAGATTATATTTAAACATAAAATACATTTCACAAGTCTCTATTTAATTTTCTATTGGGACAAATAAAAGCAACTATATTTTAGTTTAAATTCATTAGAAATTTAAATCTATGCAACTTGCAAAATGTTCAATTTCTAAAATTTTCCAAAAAGATAAAAAGCTATAAGACAAACTATGTTCTCTTTTGTTGAGTTTAAAGATGTAGTTTCTCAGGTTCTCCGGCAATTGTTTATTCATATTGTCGCTACAACTTTGTGGCCCAGCAGAGAGACTGCGAAATGAATCAAGTTTAATGTTTGTGTTAGTTCCCTGATGCTGACAGCTTTACGGTGTTCTGCTAGTCTAGTTTATATTTTACAAACATCATGATAAAATAATAATGCCCCATTCGTACACGAGTGTATAAAAAGCTTACGCAGGCAACGTTGTAGTCATAAAAATTGCTTGCCACATAAAACGCAAATTTACGTGCTTCACAAAAGCGGACAGAAAATCACAACAACAACAACAACAACAACAAAATAAATAAGAAGAAGAATGCAAAGGACAGCAAAACAACACACAACACACACACACACACACTCAAAAATGATATCTGCCACATTTTCTTGGTCTACCTAAAATATAGATGTAAATATATCTCTAGATATGTATGTATTTATGTTTATTTTTTTCTTTTTAGGATATGACAAGTGATGTTGCTGTTACGTTTTGGATATTTTTGCTTTGTTTAATCGGCGGCTCGAGCCACCTGAGCGGCACTTGGGCCGGAAGACCCGATGAGCTGCACATAGGCGGCATCTTTCCCATCGCAGGCAAGGGAGGATGGCAGGGCGGACAGGCATGCATGCCGGCCGCAAGGCTGGCATTGGATGATGTCAACAAGGAGCCGAACCTGCTGCCAGGCTTCAAACTAATACTGCACAGCAATGACAGCGAGGTGAGTGTGTGCCAGGGACAATTTAAATGAGTGAATGAGTGAATGAATGGGTGAATGGGTGAATGGGTCTTTGTGTGTGCAACGCAGTGTGCATGATAAGCTGGACAATGTGCAAACTCTCTGGGGTGCCACTTATTGCCATCACACGCCCAACCACACGCACACGCAAACCACACCCCGCCCCACCCCGGCCCGAACTTACCCCGAACCGCCGGGCTGTCCAGAGTTCACAGTCCCAGTCAGTTTGTTTTGTTTTTACGTTTTTCGGCGCATTCATTAGCATATTTCTCTGGGGCATAGTGGCGTATTATTATGATTTTGTTGTAGTTGCGCATAATAAAGGGTATATACATACATAGTATATATAGTATGTATGTATATATACATGTCAGACTCATAATTAATGGCAATGGTTGACGGCCGGACGAGAACGGCTGAGTCGCATGAAATGTTATCAATGCTGAGCTGGGGAGTCCAATCGAGTCGAGCCGAGTCGAGCCTTGGCACCAGTCAGTTACATAAATGCCGACTGAAAACAAGCCGCCCTAGCAAACTTTTTAAAATGTATATTCGGGAGCATTACAAAAAAGAACAAACATAGAAATAAAAACTTTGCTCTTCTTAATTAACATACAAAAACTATTCTAGGGATAAATTATAGCGCTTGCTGATTATTTTCATGGCAGCAGCGGCATATTATTGTTTTAAATATTTCAAATAAAATTCATAAAATTCAATTTGAACATTTCGGCAATAATGTTAAAATAAGCAGCCATTATTTATTCTTTATTATTCTATATTTAATCTTTACATAGCAATTTTTATTCTTAAATAGCGCTTTTAATATTAAACGTATGCTTAGAATCCACTTTGTTGCGAGAATTTATAAGAAATGTGGTCGGGTTGTCTTACCTTCTAACCAAAATGTCGGCCAGTAGTCTGTTTGCGACCAAAATATTATCAATAATCAACATTTGTATTTGTTTCATGAGTTTATTTTAAAAGCATATGTTTTTGCATTCCTTTTCTATTTTTAGTTACCTCAAATAACTAGTATTTGGCTGCAAAACTTTTTTATTGACTTAAAAAGCCACCATGATAATAAAAATAATAAAAAAAATAGCCCATAAAAATTAAAGCATGCATGGAATTCGGGCATGAAAAGATATAAGTTTGCTGTCGATTCTAAAAAAAGCACAACTTTTTCCATTTGCAATGCAATTTAAAAAAATTAAGCAAATATAAATATAGTTTTGTGTAAATTCATGAATTAATATTTTTTAATTCATTTCATTTTTTATTGAATTTAGTAATACTTGTGACATATACAAATAAGTTCTTTATACAATTAATTCAGTTGTGTAAACAGTTTTCAGGAAAAGAAATGACATCAAGAGCCAATCACTTTCCACTAGAACCGGAATTACTATGAAACGGAAAAGTTATCGAATTGCTGTCATTCCGCGTGCTTCCAAAAGTTTAAATTCAAAGTTTTTTCGATTTGGACTGAATCCAAGGCTATTCAATTTATTAAAGAAACAATCATACGCAGTCCTTCTGCTTCTTTAAACGACAGTTCTTGCTCTCAATCTTTGCAGAGAAATCGGCACGGCAAAGACATGAAACCAATAGTTTTTGAGAAATACAATTCAAAATTTCTAGTCAAAACTGCGAAATGAAATGATCGGGCTAAAATTAAATGGACTTGCGAAATTACTTCGCTAATAACTTTTCTTAGAGTTAACCGATTTAGATGTAATTTAAAAACAAAAACAGAGAGCTGCTCGATAGTGTGGCTTTGGAATAATGGGCAGTATGGAAAGGAGGATTCGAAATCAACAAAATAAAATAAACTCATACTCTTAGGGGCGAGGAGAGTCTATATTATATTCTTAAAGTTAACCGATTTATATGTGATTTAAAAAAATAAGCAGAGAGCTAATCTATAGCTTGGCTTTGGAATAATGGACAGTATTTCTGTAAAGAGAGGAGCATAGGAAAAATCAACAAAATAAAATAAAATATATTATATTCTTAAAGTTAACCGATTTAGATGTAATTTTAAAACAAAAACAGAGAGCTACTCGATAGCGTTGGAATAATGGACAGTATTTCTGTAAGGAGAGGAGCATAGGAAAAATCAACAAAATAAAATAAACTCAAATTCCTAGGGACTAGGAGAGTCTATATACCAAGTTTTGTACCCAAAAGGCTAAAAGGGTATACATAGTACTAGTTTCCCCTTCGAGTAGAGGGCATAAAAAGTTCAATTGTAGTGTGCATTGAATTTTGTTTTCGCAAATATAATTGATAAGAAAAGCTGCAGACTTAAAAAGTATTTATTATAATTGAAGCAAATAGGTCCATTGTTGCTGAGCTTATCGGAAGAAGAAGAGGGGCAGACAGATAGACAACTGTATCGACTGTTGTTCATGTTGTTTGTGCTTTCCTTTACAAGTATGACTGCGACTCCCACACCTTGGCGCGAATATAAAAATATGAATGGGGTGTTTGTGGGGTTTGGGGTGCCAAGGGGATGGGTATACGTATAGTTTTGGTGCCCTGCTATTTATACGCCGCGCTCATTAGTTTTAAGTGAGCGAAAGCTTAACTACTTGTTTTGAGTCTGAATGAGGTCACTTTTTGCCGCGCTCAGCTCATCATTTGAGTTATTTTTATTCAAGGCTGGCTGACAGACGTACATATGCGGACAGATAGAAGCAGGCATACATATGTATAGTAGAAGGAAGGTAATATTATACATAGGGGTATAGTTTAGTTTCGGGTACGGCTTTGCTTCGCTTCGGTTCACTTCGCTGGAAGCCTGGGCGATGTTTTTTTGCGGCTTAGCAAACAGCTTCCGTTAAATGCTGCATAATTAGGCCCATCAGAGAGCAGGCAGGCGGGCAGCAACAAACAGCAAAGGTCGACTGGCACGCAATGTTTGCTTCGCCCTTTTGGTTGACCTACTTTGACGTGTGAAATGTCCCAAGAAATGTCGCACAAACACAAAACTATTAAACCAAAGGCGCTCACAACATGCAAAAGGAATACACTGTGGTTCCTGAGCAAATAACGGCGGTGCACTGCTAAGGCGCAGGAATGCCACAAAAACCACAATTACTCGAACAGTACATACGACTACGACTACGATGTACGGCGCAATGCAAGTCGTAAAAGCCGTTGGCATATGTCAAACCAACAAACACTTCAATGGCCTTCTCAGAGACACAGCTTGGAGAGACAGGGGACATACATACATACATACATATATAACAAATGAAATGAGCTCGAGAAACACTTGCCCAATGTGTAGCCGTACACTCATAAAACAGTTGCCTAGAAAAAATGAATATTTTCATATTCAATTCAATTCAATGTTCTAATATTTTGTATTTTCAATTTCAATTTATTCACATTTCTTAAAAACATTATGAATTATGGGAAGGATATCTTAATGTCGAGAGTCCAGCCAGCTTAGCCTTTTCTACTTAATTAAACAAAATGGAGAAATAAAAATGACAGTGTAATCGACAGTGTAAAGCGGGAAAAATTAAACAAAAAATAAATAAATAATATCTTAAATATTTCGTATTTAAATCAATTACAAACAACGGGAATTTAATTAAAAACATATTCAATTGCCGATTTAAATATGAGATTATATTTAAAAGAAAGTGTAAATCTTTATCATCAAAGTGTTGAACCATATTCAATATTAATATGCGTCAAATTCAAATAACAAATAGTTAAATATACTATAATGCATAGTAAATTTTAATGTTTATTTAAAGTTTTCTATTCTTGACTTAAATACACAAAAAATATATAAAAGTTGAAGTTTTTGTACTTGATTTCAATATACAAGAAATATATTAAATTTTAATATTTTTAATAGTTAATTCCAATATAAATACTTTGCTTAACATATCAATTAAGTATATACCTACATATATAATTTAGTTTTTAATTTAGTATCAATATTGATTGAACTAAGCTATTAATCAATATTTACAATAACAAAAAGAAAAGAAAATAGATTGGAACATTGGTGTGTAATAAAAATATGTTCTATAAAAATAAATTTGCATTACAATATGTCATTATTGAAAATGATCAAACACAAAAGAGTAGGCAAAATAGAGGGAAGAATAATTTTGTAATTAATTATTTATAATTTTTTATTATATTATTAAAAAAGACCCCTTGGCGCGAATTAAAACCCACGTCCACATCATCATCACTTCTGATTTAATATCCGTCAGAAATTCAATTTAATACTTTATCATTAAACTCGAAATGTTGAAAATATTTAAATGTACGTGTGTCCTTTTTTTTGTCAGTGTATGTACTAGTCCAGTTCCCCAGTCTCATTAGTGGAGACAGAAATATAGCGACTTCTAGCTTCGAGCAACCACTCGCTCACTCACTCACTACGCCTCTTCAAAGGTAGATGGATGGCTGACATAAAATAAATTGACACACATTTGCTCAGCAAGTATAATGAATGGAAAATCCAATGAATGGCATTCGTATCAGCACCGAGACATCGTCTCAGCCAGGCCAGCAAGGGTTACACTTAAGCCTAACTCTATTGACACTTTCAAATGTGATTTCGTATTTGATTTTATTGCTGATTTTCTCAACGGAACTCAACACAAGAAGATTGGAATTTTTTTTAAATTTCCAAATACTTAATCTTTTGATACGAATTAAAAAGAGTAAAAAGCATTTCATATATCTGCAACCTTTTTAACAGAATATACATTAATAGTTTAATTTCCATTGGCTTGAAAGAGAAATCATAAAATCATTAAATTGTTCAGACATTTTCAAATCAACTTGAATGGATGCATTTTCGTTTAATGTTCGAGCTAAATTCGAACCAATCAGAATCTAGGAGCAAAGAAAATTCTCAATGCGTGGAAGCTCTCACGATTTTGAGATTAAAGCCGTTTGGAGCTCAGCAGAGACTTAATTTCTTTGCAGACCGAAGCAGTATTTGGCAAGATTGGAATGCCGCGATTTCACAAGTTTTTCAAACGAGCAATTGATTACGAAAAGACTGGGTCCTAAAAATTTGGCCCATTGTGATCAAAAACAATTTCTAAATCAATTTCTTATAAAAGAACGTAGGAAAAGTCTCTAATAATGTGTGGAAAAGAATTCGCCACATGGGTCTGAACAAACAAATACTAATCTGTGTCTTCAGATAAGTTTAACAGTATTCCAAAGAGTGGATTTGTAAGACTCGATTACCTATAGATGCAGCTATTTTCGTTTTAAATACCAACCCTCCCTTCCCCGTCCATGTATTTTCAACTAATTTATACGAATCGCTAAGCTCCGAAATATATGCTTTATTTTATTTGAAAATATAAGCTGGCTTAGCTGAACAAAAGCCAGAAACTTAATCATACACACACACACGGGGCTATACTATATACATAAATTAGCCATTAAATGTGAGAGCCGCAGAAATGTTGATGCCAACTCCATGGCTGGGCTGAGTGGAAACTATGTACGAGTATGTATGTTAATATGGGCGCCAAAATCTAATCAATTTTTCAATTTCCCATACTTGCCAATAACAACGACGAACACAGTGCGAACCTGGACTGGGGGCTAGTGTGATGTACAATCTGCTCTATAACAAGCCACAAAAACTGATGCTGTTGGCGGGTTGCAGCACCGTCTGCACTACTGTGGCAGAGGCTGCCAAAATGTGGAATCTAATTGTGGTAAGCATTACTTGTATATAAAATGTATCTGCATGAGTCCCATTGCCAAACCAATTTTGTTTTTCCAGCTATGCTATGGAGCGTCTAGTCCTGCGCTATCTGATCGCAAGCGCTTTCCCACACTCTTTCGCACACATCCCTCGGCCACGGTGCACAATCCAACGCGAATCAAGCTGATGAAGAAATTTGGTTGGTCCCGCGTGGCCATCCTGCAACAGGCCGAGGAGGTGTTTATATCGGTGGGTGAACAGTCACAACAAACTCTTGCCCGATTACTTAAAAGAGAACGTTTTTTTTTTTTTTTTGTATTTATAGACTGTAGAAGATCTCGAGAATCGCTGCATGGAAGCTGGCGTCGAAATCGTAACTAGACAATCATTTCTATCCGATCCAACGGACGCCGTGCGGAATTTGAGGCGCCAGGATGCGCGCATCATTGTGGGCCTATTCTACGTGGTGGCGGCGCGTCGTGTCCTCTGCGAGATGTACAAACAACAGCTTTATGGGCGTGCACACGTCTGGTTTTTTATAGGTAAGCCCATATACTATAGTGCCACTACAAATGTTGTACAGCTGTTGTAAACTTAATGGTCTTCAATCCGCTTATGCCCAAGGCTGGTACGAAGACAACTGGTACGAGGTGAATCTGGAGAATGAGGGCATCACCTGTACAGTGGAACAAATGCGCATTGCCGCCGAGGGGCATCTCACCACAGAGGCCCTCATGTGGAATCAGAACAATCAGACAACCATTTCAGGCATGACCGCAGAGGAGTTTCGGTTAGAATCGAAAGTATAGAATCGCAATACTCTGGTTAATAAACAATATCTCCCTTATATATATAGACATCGACTGAATAATGCGCTCATTGACGAGGGATATGACATAAATCACGATCGCTATCCGGAAGGCTATCAGGAAGCACCGCTGGCCTACGATGCAGTCTGGAGTGTCGCTTTAGCCTTCAACAAGACCATGGAGAGGCTGACGCTGAGAAAGAAATCGCTCAGAGACTTTACCTACACAGACAAGGAAATTGCAGATGATATATACGCGGCCATGAATTCGACTCAGTTCTTGGGCGTATCGGTTAGTGCTCCATAAGAATTGCAATACTTTCAATAAATTACACATTTCATTTACAATTGTAGGGTGTGGTGGCGTTTAGCTCGCAGGGCGATCGCATTGCCTTAACACAAATCGAGCAGATGATTAATGGCAAGTACGAGAAGCTAGGATATTACGACACCCAATTGGACAACTTGACTTGGTTAAATACGGAGCAGTGGATAGGTGGGAAGGTAAGTCAAAGGACAGCCAAACGCAATATGAATAAGAATGGTGAGCTTTTGGTTTCAAAGCATTTTATTGAAATGCCAGTACAGTAATTATTTGAATTGTGAATGTTCGCTTCCGGTTTCCTAAATATTTCTCTCATATTTATAATGACCGAAAAAAGTACATACATCGACCGAATTGTTGACTTTCTATTAACGAGCTAGAAACAGCTATAATATGGCTTAAGAAATCCCTATAAATAGCCAGAAACCCCGCTGAAAAATAGCAACAATAGCAATTATATGTAGCTAGAAAAAACCGTCAGAAACTGTCTAGAAAACCCACTAAAAATATATTTAAGAAACCCGATTTAAATTGTCTAAAAACACCGCTATAAAGAGCTATAAGGCCCGCTAAAAAATAAATAGAAACGCAGCAGCCAACGATGGTTGCCGATCCAGCTTTCAAGAGCCCTAAACAACGCAGCTCTATTCGGCATTAAAAATATTCCTAGAAAACCCGCAAACCACAAGAAACAGAAACATTGATTTCGTTACAGAAAAGGTTGCCGACCCCTTAATTAAGAAGTTTCACTCCAAACATAAAATAAACTTATTTGACTAGGAGAGCGTCTATAAAAGGAACGTCGTATAGACATTTGTTTTCAAGTCTCGTTAACTGTGACGAACTGTCAGACAGAAAGAAACTCTGTGATTATTTAAAGAAAATCAGACACAAGCCAAAATGTCGGTGGATAGTGTTATAGATGTCCGACAGGGTTTTAGAGGGCGACCGAGTCGAATCTCTAGTTTTCTGCAACGGCAACTGGATCATCAGAGCACCGAAAAGGAGCTGTATTGGTATCCCAAGAAGACGTTGCGTAGAAAAGATGATTTGAATTTGCAGAGGCTGCCTACGATTAAAGGACATTATGAGTTAGCCGAGGACCATCGCATTTACTATACAGGCTCGGAATATCATTTTCCACGCCTTCGTCACTGGACCAAACATATTTATGATAGTCGCCGGCAAACCTATTTATCGAGAACCCCACAACATTGGGTCTTCACATGCATCTATATAATACTCTTTCTGATCTTCATGCTCATGTTTACAACAGCGGTCTTTCTGCATTTTATCGAGGATTTGAACTTTATGGTGCCGTCGCATTTGCAAAGTACACCGTTGGTTAGTTTTGCTCCGACCGGTTCTGAATACAATTATGAAAAAATCAAATACAATCCGAAAGACGCCGGCGACGTATTTGAAATGAGATACAAAATCCTCACTTTTTTGAGCAAGTCCGGTAAGGATATCGGGAATAATAAGCGATTCGGACCCTGCATAGCGGACAAACAATTCGGCTATGATAGCAACGAGCCATGTGTGTTCATAAAAATTAATCGCATCATTAGTTTCAAGGCAGACCCCTACACCCATCCCGACGAGCTCAGTGTAGACACTTGCGACTACAAATCGTATCTGCTGTTCAAGAAGATACTGTTCAAGCAACCGCCCGATCAGCGAGCAGATCGTGTCTGGTTCACCTGCACCACCGAGCCGAACCCATTTGTGGAGCTCGAATACCATCCCGAACCGTTCATACGCACCACATATATTGAGCTGAGTCAAAAGGCACTGTACTACAGCGACAGGGATATGCATCGGGTCATTGCCGTGCGGGTCAAGAATATGCAGTTGAATCAGAGGAATAAATTCTATTGCCAAGTCTGGGCCAAGAATATTAAGAAATGTGACAAGGCCTACGGCAATATAGAATTCTCGATTCTGATAAGCAAGAAGGAAGATCGTATTTTGTTAATGTCAACAGATTGATTAGAGTGTTTAAAATATTACAATAATCGAAAATATATATATGACTTGCTTTCAACTGATATTCTTTAACGATATATTGGCAATTGGTTGGGTTTCGAGCGACAAGAGAGCATTCTTCAGGAACCTTTAACACTATTTGTTACTTGCTGTTCATTTATATGCGCCTGTTACCCTGCTGTTGGTTTCGTTACAGAAAAGGTTGCCGATCCAAAAATTCACAATTCCCTCACATAAGAACTATAACTATAATATTTATACTTTTTCCGAGGTTTTGTAAAAATTAATAGTCACGTTTTCTGCGGTTTTTGTTTCTTTTAAGGTACCCCAAGATCGCACCATTGTCACCCATGTGCTACGCACAGTATCTTTACCGTTATTTGTGTGCATGTGCACCATCTCGAGTTGCGGAATATTTGTAGCCCTAGCTCTCATTATATTCAACATATGGAATAAGCATAGAAGGTAAGTTATCTCTGTTCTCCCTCATTTATTGAAGAACTTCTTCGCTAAGAAATCGTGTGAACACTTTTCAGGGTAATACAATCGTCCCATCCTGTATGCAATACGATCATGCTATTCGGGGTCATCATTTGTCTTATATCAGTCATCTTACTGGGCATGGACGGACGCTTCGTTAGTCCAGAGGAATATCCAAAGGTTTGTTTTCAAATCTCCATAAAGAATGAAGAATGAAGAATGAAGATAATACTTGATTGCAGATTTGTCAAGCTCGAGCTTGGTTATTATCCACCGGTTTTACATTAGCATATGGTGCCATGTTCAGCAAAGTCTGGCGTGTGCATCGTTTTACAACAAAAGCAAAAACTGACCCGAAGGTATATGCTCAATTCTTAGCTCCACTCTCTCTATCTTGCTGAATAATTGTTGTTGTTTTTGCAGAAAAAGGTGGAACCTTGGAAGCTATACACCATGGTTTCGGGCCTCTTATCAGTAGATTTAGTGATATTACTCTCTTGGCAGATCTTTGATCCGCTGCAGCGTATACTCGAAACATTCCCACTCGAAGATCCAGTATCTACAACTGATGATATTAAAATACGTCCAGAGCTTGAACATTGCGAAAGTGAACGTAACTCCATGTGGTTGGGTAAGTGTCCCAAAAATCCTTAACTAAAGATCTGATCTAAAATGGAAACTGTATGTTGACAGGACTCGTGTATGGCTTTAAGGGCTTGATACTCGTTTTCGGCCTATTCTTGGCCTATGAGACGCGCTCGATTAAGGTCAAGCAGATCAACGACTCCCGATATGTGGGCATGAGTATTTACAATGTGGTCGTACTCTGCCTGATCACAGCGCCTGTGGGCATGGTCATTGCATCGCAGCAGGACGCATCCTTCGCTTTCATTGCACTAGCTGTGATATTCTGTTGTTTCCTAAGCATGCTGCTGATATTTGTGCCAAAGGTAGTTGACTCTCCATTGCTGCACAGACATCTATGTATATATATATATATATTTATTTTCAATATAGGTCATTGAAGTCATACGACATCCCAAGGATAAGGCCGAATCAAAGTACAATCCTGACTCAGGCATATCAAAGGAGGATGAAGAACGCTATCAGAAGCTGCTGACAGAGAACGAGGAACTACAACGATTGATATCACAAGTAAGCCCCACAGACAGTCTAGTCTCTCAAATAATGCCAGTCAAACCAATTCATTTGACATTTCACAGAAAGAGGAAAAGATACGGGTTCTACGACAGAGGCTCGTCGAGCGAGATGTAAACATGAAGGGCACAGAACTGAATGGTGCCACAGCAACCACCTCGCTTGCAGTCCAACCACAGCCTTCTTCTTCTATCATCAACACCAGCACACATCCCACACCCGCTGCCACACTCGCAATCACACAAGGTAAGTGCCACGCCCCCCAATACTAGTACTTTAAAGTAGAGACTTCTATATATATTTAGCGATAAAGCGATTTGTAGTTTCCAATATACTCGTACTTAGCATGCAGCTCGATTTAGCTTCATTTACCTAACAGCATTATTTGATTTTTAACCTAGAAATTTTAGCCCTATTCGTGGGTATTGACAAAATTGATTGAACGCGCAGCACGGAGTTCAAAGGTTATGCCTCAATTGTATTTAATGTGTATTTGTGTGTGTGAATGTGTGTTGCACCAACAAAGCATCTAAAGAGCACAACAATTTACTTTTTAGCACTTTATTTTCACTTTCGCGGACATTTTCACGGTTGATTTCTTAAGTAAGTTGTTTTTAAATAAAAACATTGAAGATCTTTTTCAAAATAGTCTATTAAGGAATACTTTCTTAATAATATTAGAAAATATCTTGAAAAATGAGCAAGGGAATTGTAAAAGCGTTTTCAAAACAAACAACAAAACCCAACGCTCTTATGAGAAGACAAGCTACCCCATTTCCCCATTTGGAGTTTAAATTATTCAAAACCCTCCCAGCTCTTAATCAATCAATCAGTCAGGATAAACGGTTTTATTCCTATATAGTCTTTAACTTTTCTTAGAATTGTCGGGTTGGGATAAAATTTAAAATGAAATTATTGTAATTTATTTCATAACGTAATATTATGTAGCTTTGGAATTATGGGCAATATTGACCAAATTTTTAAAAGGGGGCCAAATCAAAAAATTATTAAATAAGCTGGTATAGCCTGGGGATAGGGAGAATCTACGTTCGTTTGTATTTCAATCAAAGAGTCCAAAGAGATTGAAACAAGCTCATCTAAGATCTAAGCTTTCTATTAAATCTTTCATTTGAAATGATTTTTTCATGGGTCACCTAATTCAACTTAATACTCTTTAATATTTTTTTAAAAATATTTTTATACAAGTGATTTGTTTAATGCATTTGCTGGCATGAAACCGTAAAAATTTCTTTTTGCAAATACTGCCCTACACTTTTATGTTGCTTGACAACTAGATGTTAATTGTCACTCACTTTTCTGTAACTTTTTTCTAGAAAAAAAGAAATGAACTTCCCATTCTAAATTATTTCCCATATCTCTTGCAGATACTCATGAGCACCGTACATGAAAAAACTTGTCAATTTCCTTTGCGTGATAGGTGAACTATACAACAACAAAAAAGTAAAAAAAAAACAAATAAAAAAAATGCTAAAAACAATTAATATTCTTAAATTGAAGAACACAAAAAAAAAACAAAAACTTTGTATCAACTTTAAGCTGAGCTAAATAAGAATTGGTAGCAGCAATTTTGTAGATTAAATGAAATATGTATTGTACCTTAAAAGTGTTAGCGAGTACTTAAATTTAAACGAAATATTTCTAACTTACAAAACGACATTAGAATGTGAACTAAGCAAATTGTTAGGCTTTAAAGTTAATGAGAAAAACAAAAAGAAATGATCACAAGTAGTCAAGTCACAATAAGAAATCATGTTAAAGCTAATAATTTTAAAATGAAAAACCAAAGATTGTTGTGTTAGTTTAGTACGTCCTTAGTACGTCCTTAGTTGAACTTAATTTCCTGAACTCTCTTGCTCAGTGCTGTCTCCTAGAGCTATTACATAAATGCATACTTAGAACTTGATTTTCGAAGTGTTCTTTCTTCGGGCCCATGCGGCCTTCTACACAGACACACTAAACTCTAGACTCTTTCAAAGATTTACTCAGCAACTTGTTTAGTTTCTAAGTTAGGTGTTAGGTCTTTTGTAAGAAGCATTAGTATATATGTATGTACTTATTATATATGAACTTGGGCTGTCCAAAGTTATTTTTGAAGTCGTGTGTGCACTCAACGCAGTTTTAATAGTTTAAAATATTTACCTAAGTGTTTGCATAAATGAAAAAAAAAACAAAAACAAAAATGATAGCAAATCTTAGATAAACAATGACCTAGCATAGCGTAGTCCCGAAAAATTTACGATCGATTACTATATTATTATTATTATTATTATTATAATTATTATAATTATTGTATAAATCATATGGGTGGGTATTGTGCTCAAGCAACGTTTTTAATTTATGCATACTGTTCTATGTATGTTTGTGTATTTAAATGAAATGAAGAAAACGAAATTGAGAAGCAAAGGAAATTTTTGAACATACTGTAAGTTCTAAAATTGCATTTATAAATTATATAAATATATATTATACACAAAATAGCAAATTAAACGAGAAAATAAGAAGAAGATGATGAAGAAGAACGCGTCGTTATTTAAATAGGAATTGAAAAAAATTTATTTTAAAACTGACCTATTGACGATATGATAAAATTATACGAGTATAATATAATGGTAAATGGTAAACAAAACGAATTGGAACCTTTTTTAAATTCAATCACTCTAATCCATCACGAAAAGTGCTATAAGAAACATACATAGACAACATCAAATTCCTACGAAATGAAAGACTTTAAAATCTAAGCCGTTAAATGAAATAAAACTATACACACGATTATGATGATGATTATGATGATGATGATGATGAAGATCAAGACGAGATGAATGAATGAATGATATATATACTATATACACACGAAATAAGATTTTTCACACATATACACAAACACACTTACACACACACACAATTAAAAAATACATACATCTAGTACATTGATATTGTTAAGAATCGTTGGAATTTGTAGTTTAATTGTATTTGTAATTCAAATAGGAAAAGCTGCTAGGGTAGAAGATGTAACTTTAAATATATATATTGTATATAGTGCATTAAGCTAGTGTCAAACGATCTGAGCCATACACACACACGCACGCACACCCAAACACACACTTGTATGCATGTATCTGTGTGTGTGTGGCCCGTATTTCTATCGAAAATGTATGCACTCCAGATGTTATTTACGGGCCCCCCCCTATTCCATAATTTTCCGTTTCCTGCTTTACCATCAATACACACTCACTACACACTCACACACACACACACTCAACCCTACAAACACAGAGAAGAAACGATCGACATCTAGATCCTAAGAAAAAAAATAAACAAAAAATAAACACAGTTTAGCAAAGCTAATTGTTGTATGTATAAACTAAATAAACCAGATTTATTTAAACTTAGTAAGAAGGAAAAAACAAAACAAAACAAAGAAAAAATACACATTTAAGAAGCGAAATGAAATCCAGACAAATTTGGTAGCAATATAAAGTAAACAAACTCGGTATGTTCTTATGAGAGTAACATTAACGAATTAATTTAAAGTTTAAAAGCAAAATATGAGAATTTTACTGAAAAACACAGCAACAACAAAAAACAAACAACAACAACAACAAAAAAACATGAATAAAAATGTGTAATAAAAAGAATTGAGTAAACAAATCCTCGTACTAGTCGCATTATTCTTTTTCTTTAAATTTGAATTTGCATTCCAAAACTCAGAGCCCCGCTTTAATTGTAACAAGCGAACAATAACCTAATATCAATTCATTCATATTCATAAACGATGAATCGAATTTGCATAAATCTCTCGCTTCGCTCCCGCATTTTATGGCTCCAACAACCTCGTCGTCCCGACGTCTGGCTCCACCTCCCCTGCACACATAGTGGGTGTTGAGGGATGCGCCCGACAAGACATGCATAACGAGCTCACGTTTTGTGCAATCAGGCACGAATTACACGCATATATTGAATAAGGTGTGTACCATAAATATATATAGCCAAGCAAATTACTCCTCCATTTCCACTTATCTATTAATTTCTAGAAGCCCAGCTCTACTTAAGGGGATGAAATAAAATATTAGTTACGAAATTGAATACAAATATAGGGAAATTTTGATTATCGGTACAGTCAAGGAGTACCTCTCAGATATAAGGCGATGTTCACCTAAAATATGCCTCCATTTCCACTTTTATCTCAAACTCCAAAAGTCCAGCTCTAGTTAAAATTTAAAATTAAAATTTGAATTGAATTAAATTAAATACAAATACATATCTGGCAGCTTTGATAATATAACTAGAGAATTCTTCTCTAGAAGCCCAGCTCTACTCAAAAGGTTTAAACAAAATATAAATTGAAAAACTAAAAATATACTTTAGTATTTAGCGAAACTATTTTATTCTGGGATTTGATCATCTCTGAAGGTATGAACTTTTCAAATAATTTATAAATATCGGTAGTTTAATTTTCTAGCTCCTTCCAATATTTTCTTGGCCTTTTTATTTATTTAATATTTTAATTTCTGCCCAATTGCCATGAACTGAAAAGTCTCTGCTAATTGCTGATCTGTGCGCTATTCTTTCGGCAGATTTGATTGGTATTTAAGATTAGATTTTGCATTCAATTAAAATTCAATTTAAAATAAAAATGATAAGTTGAATAAAACGAATTATTTAATAAAGCCAATCCTTTTTTCAGTGGCATAATTCGATAAGTATTTAAAAAATTTGCTTTGCTAAACCTGCAAATAATTTGCACAAAAAATTGTGTTAGTTAAGCTTTAAAAGTAATTCCCTAAGAAGTATTTGTGCAAGAAAAGTATACTGTGATTTTGAAAAATTAAAAATATATTTTTTTTTGCTCTTTAATACTGTTGCAGTTGTTAAGCAGATTAGAGAGAAATTTAAACGATCTAGCCATTCATCTTAAACAATACCTGTAGGAAATGTTATTTAGAAACCTATATAGTATAATATATTAGAAACAAAGGAAAAGAAAGAAAGCTATAAACTTTAAGACATGCTAAACATTTATTTGAATTTAGTTTGTCAACTTTAAGCTTTTGTGTTAATTAGAAGAAATGTACGAGAACTCGTATTAATCATTGCCGTAATATCCAAAATACATACTTTTCCTGTCATATACTCGTAATCATGAATCGCACATTATTTAAGGCTTCAGTTAATCGTTGCGTCGCGTCGCGTTTGTCTCTCCGAGTTCAATGAGCAATTATGCCAAAAATAATGCGCTTGCTGTCCAATTGCCGGCGCGTTGTGCTTTATTTTTACTGTTGTGTGTGTGTTTGTGTGTGTGTGTGAGTGTGAGTGTCGGGGCCACTTCCTTGCTTATCCGTTAATGGCAATATTTGTTGTTGCTGGGAAGCTTCAGCCTCAGTGCGCGTGTATAACACATTGTTGCGCGTGTATAACAGTTTGGTGGAGCTTTCTCACAACCAGCCCATATCACATATTAAGCTCGACTCGCGTCTCAGCACTCGCAGTCTGCGCGCTCAGCTCAAAAGGCAAAGAAGCTCGCCCTAAACGAACGAACGCACGAACGCAGAAGAAGTTTCTTTTTGTGTTTTTTTCTAATCTTGAAGATGCGTTCATCTCTTAAATTGCTGGCCCTGGGCCTTTGCATTATCAGTGTGTGGCACATTGCTGCAGCTAAGCTGGAGGAGAAGTTCGCGTGGAAACAATTGATCTTCGACTGGCCAAGTGCCGAGGCGGAGCAACAGGCCATTAGAAGCGGCCACTATGTGGTTGAGAACAATCTGCCATTGGGCGTGGAGCGCTGGCAAGACAAAATCTTTGTCACTGTGCCAAGGTAAGTTTTGACAAACCGTACTTAGTTTTATTTCAATTTTTTTTCCTTCTTTTTTCCCACTCTTTTTGTTGTTAATTTAATTGTAATTGAGTCGCTGCTTGGAGCTGCGCTTGCGAAAGCAACTTTGAGGAAACCGGTTCCTATCCATCGATTAGTAGTTTTCTTATACGAACAGATGTACCACTACTGATTTGAATTTTAAATGCTAAATGCTTATATGCAAATTTATTTACATGGTACCAATTAATTATACAGTCAAGACAACTACTACAATTGCAATTTAGAGGTGCCCTTTGTTGAAAACTCCAAGCATCAGCGACAAACTATTTAAGTCTTCGTGTTGTTGACGCAAAAAGTCAAAACAGCGTGACGTCAGCGCCACGGGGGTTTCCAGCGCGAGGTTGTGGTCTCCGCTTCAATGGAACTAGCCAAAAACATTAACGAAAAACAAACCATTTGTGTCATTTTAATTATGCACAAATATTTCAATCGAAATTCTAGATAACAACCATGAGTACTTTAATTAAAGCGATGGCGCTAATTTAGATTCTCAGGATTTGCATGAATGCTAACAGATTCTAAAAAATAAAATAAAAAAGTCGTTCAAGTCTTTAAGTGAATGAACGATTTTTTGTTTTCCAAATCAAGAATTTTTTCCCCCAAATAAAAATGCATATTATTTGCAATTATCAATATCAGTCCAAATTAATTCTGGCAGCATCGAAAACTGTACTATTTTTAGTTTTCCAAATCAAGAATTTATTCCCCCAAATAAAAATGCATTTTATTTTCAGTTCAAAGAACTTTACATCTATAAAAGCACTTTTCAACTGAAATCAGTTTCAGAATCGTAGAATTTGGAAATTTAAAGGGTTTTAAAAAATGTTGAATTTAAGTTAAGGATTTTATAAATTTATTTGAAAACATCGCTATGTCTAAAAATATATCGATGGTTAGGTTCTTAAGTCGTTAATATCTTATATAAAGTCTTCTCATATTGATAAATAATTCATAAAAGTAATTTTCTAATTTAGTAAATCGCTTCTGAATTGCATTCGGACTTCAACATTTCTGAAACAAACGTTCCCCTTAAGATTCATATTACTATTTTCTTTTTAAATTAAAAATCATATTAACTATTTAAACAGGTTATTCTCCAATCAACCAGCTGGGGAACACATTTTTTCACAACTTTATTATTGCTTTTCATGAACAGATTTGAAATGTAAAAGAATTATGCAATCCTACTTTAGAATTTTTCCATTCAAATCTGATGATAAGGCCGCCTTGTCGCAATAACATTGTTCAGATTTATTTCCAGTGCATACTTATGTTAATGCGTCTTCTGCCGATTTCATAACAAGAACTTGTTCTTCACGTTTTCAGATGGAAGGCCGGCGTAGCCGCCACACTGAACTACATTGATTTGTCAACCACGGAGAAGTCTCCGAAGCTGCGTCCATATCCCAGCTGGGAGGCCAACAAACTGCCCATCGATGTGCAGCCGCAGGATCAGAAGACGCCCTCGGGCGGGCGCCTTGATGCCGAGAAGGCCAAGGATGCTGGTGTGGAATTGCGCGATAATTCGACAATTATATCGACATTCCGCATTCAAGTCGACCAGTGCGATCGTTTATGGGTCCTGGACACTGGTCTGGCCGATATTCTGGGCAGTCCCAAGCAGATAACGCCCAACGCTATATTGGTGTTCGATCTGAAGACCGACAAGCTGCTGCGTCGCTTCACAATACCCGCTGCTCAGACCAAGGAGGACACATTCTTTGCCAATATTGTAAGTACAATAGGGAGTTTAAAAACTATAAAAAGGATATCTTTTGTGGTTACCTTTTCGACTGATTCTAATTTAAAACTACACATTTAAGTTAAAATTAATTAGAACATAATAATATATAATTTGTTAAATTAAATATTTCCTTTGCAGGTTGTCGATAGCGAGCGCTCGGAGTGCAACGATGCCTTCGCCTATGTGCCCGATTTGGGAGCTTATGGCGTCGTCGTTTACTCCTTCCGGGACAACAAATCGTATCGAGTGAAGCACAACTTCTTCCACTTCGATCCCCTGCAGGGAGACTTTAATGTGGGTGGCGTTAATTTCCAATGGACCGATGGCGTCTTTGGCTTGGCTGTGGGTCCCATGCAGCCCGATCACTCGAAGGACATTTACTTCCACGCCTTGGCCAGCACCAAGGAGTTCAAGGTCTCGAACCGTGTGCTGCAAAACGAAAGCCATGTGACTGGCGGCGATTCCTACTATGATTTTAAATATGTCGGCGATCGCGGCATGAATGGACAGTCAACCGCGGAGGTGTACGACAAGGAGACAGGTGTTCTCTTCTATACTCAAGTGAATAAGGATGCCATTGCCTGCTGGAATGTGAAGCGTCCATACACTGCGGATACGCAGGGGCTCATCGATTCCGATTCGCACACCTTGGTCTTTCCCAACGACATGAAAATCGATACGGAAGGCACTGTCTGGGTCCTATCCGATAAGATGCCCACATATCTGTACAAGGAACTGGATCCGTCCACTGTTAACTATCGCATATTGATGGGAAAGAACCGCGATCTAATTAAGGGAACACCTTGTGAGATGTAGTTGGTGATTGATGTGCGTATTTTAATGTTTTTTATATATACATATGACATTGTTTTTGGGCCTTAAAACTTTTCTTAATAAAGATGTGACAAAAAGTGTAAGTAACAACAGAATTTCTTAGCTTAAATATCGGATTTCAGCAAATTGTCAGCCAGTTGCACCTTTTCACCAGGCTTAAATGCTGGCATCCCCAAATAGGGGCAGGTGGAGCACCGAAAGGCGTCGCCGAGGTAGCACTGCAAGTAAACAATGGAATAATTTAAACAAATCAAATCGAGGTGTGCGAGATGGTTCTAGAAAGAAATCTTGTTACAAAAATAAGCAAGAACTGCTCGGCTGTTTATGTGTTCAATATAAACAAATGATTTGTTGGTTTCTGCAGTCGACTAATAGATACCCTATAAACAATGTAGATCTTAAATAAATTATAATTTTGAAACGGCAATAACAAATTATATAACGCCTAGACAACTAATTTTAAAAACAATCTCTAAAGCGTTTAGTCACTGTTATCTGCGCTCTAGAAAGTTCTAATACATATCTCTTAGCTAGACATTTTATCAATTTTTCGATTAAGTTAAGCAAATAAATGTGATTAGAAAGCAGGTGCTTTGAAATCAAAAACTAAATCATTCCTATGGCACAGAATAAACTGTTTTTAGGATTTATATTTAATCTTCTTATCTGCATTACTTACATTTCCGCAACTAGACTTGGCATTTTCCGTGGCTGTCTGCACTTGCTTTTCACTTTCCAATTCCTCGGCCAGGCCGCATGAGCAATTCTTACAAGCCTTGCGCTTCCCAGTTGTGCTGCAAACTATACAAAAAATAAATATAGTACAGAACATTCTAGCAACAATAATAATCGAGCTCACCTTTCAAGGCACTTGGATCCGGCAACTGCTTGTCTGCTTCGTCGAGCAGCTCCTCCTCATCAATGAGTTCCTCCTCATCGCCGCTGATTTTCCACACGTTCACAGCGCTGGTATTTTTCTTGAGAAACGACAAACGGGCCGAGGAGCCCACCTCATAGCCCGGCTTCTCGGCAATCAACGTGTCGGCCTCCTCCCGGCAATTGATGAACCCGGACAGCTTAATCTCCTGCAGCAAACTGGAGGCGGGGCCAATGTAAGCCACCAGATGAAGCTTACCGCTCGGCTTGAGCATGTGGAGTAGTTTTACATAATTATCAGTCAGCTGAGCGCATTCTATCACAATCAGATCGAAACTGGAGTTTGCATAAGAGGCTAATAACGTGAGAAATAAGTATAATTGATTATAATTACAAATAAATATGCTGACTCACACAGCTGCATGCAACTTACAAAACGACAGGCGATGGACATTTTCCAATGCCACCTCGCCACCCGTGGCTGCCTTTATCTCCTGCACGCGTTTGTCCACACTGTCGCTGTCAGTCCATATATAAAGGGTTTTATCCAATCCCTTAAACTGTTCCATTCTAACGCTCTTCTAGAAAATTGTATAATTTTTAAGCACGAATATTAAGCACCGCTGCCGAGTATCGCAATAAATAGTGTACAACTGTCTGGCCAGATGAGCGGCAATGCCTGCCAACTTGCTACAAATTGCAGGCTTGTACTTGCTGGCAACGCCAAATACTGATAACAATTCAAATTTATAAAATATATTTTACTACATTCATATGTTGAGAGCCCAGTTTGGCATTTATTTTTTATATACATAAATAACTGGCACACATACTTGGAAATTTCTACCCTGACCTAAATCAATCAATAGCCTGCACCAATTGCAGTTTCTCACGCGCCTCATTAAATATTAACAGCAGGACACACGTGTCGGGTTAAATTATAGCTAACAGCACTAGCTCGTGTACATTGAAGCTATAATAGGAGTTAATAATTAAATAAATATTTTGCAAAGCATTTAAAATCCGCAGCGAGCGGCTTTTATCATTCATAATGCAAGGGGTTTGCATGACGAGTCGCTCGTTAGCAACGCGGCATCGATGCCTGCAACATGCCGCAAGTATCGATAGTCCAATAAAATGGTTTGTTTGTAGCTGCTTGTACCTCAGTCGGTTTTTAGTATTAGAAGATTAAATTAGTTTCCAGCTACTAGTTGAAAGTTCTAAATACACAGCCCCCACGACTGTTTTTAAATTTATGAGCCTGTCGGCCTTTTTAATACAAATAATTACGTCTTGTGGGAAACTCGCAGCGGTCCAGTTCGATTGTAAACTGAGAGCTGGGTGCGTGAGAACCGACAGCTGCTGTTTGTGCTGCGTGTTTATATCAGTGTGTACGTGTGTGTGCCTGTATGTGTGAGTGAGTGTGTGTGCATGTTTATGTGTGTGTGCATGTGTGTGTGTAGTGCAAAGGATACAACAATTCAAAATAGATTAGAGTGCGCGACTCTCTGAATGAAGCAGTGTGCCAAAAAGTGTTAAACAAGTTGCCAAATCTAAACAAATTATTTACACACACAAAAAACGGATAAATGTAAATCCAATGGACCAGCATGACCAGCCTTATAGAGCAAACATAAATGAAGAGCTACAGCCAATATAATTTAAACGCCGCCGTTGCAACGCCGACGCCGCCGCCGCCGCCGCCTCCTCCTGTCCTTGCCTACGAGAGCAGCATCCAGGAGCAAAACCAACAACAACAACAACAGCAATTACTTAGTCAACGTCCACGCCAGGAAATGCCGCATTTCGGTTTGGGGAGTGCGCCGTCGCAACAGCAGCAACAGTTACAGGTGCATCATCAGCAACAACAACAACAACAGCAGCAGCAGCAGCAACAACAACAACAGCACCAACCACAACAACAAATGCAACTATCAATGCTGCCCGGTCCTTACCGGCCGCACATTGAGGAGAAGAAGCTGACGCGGGACGCCATGGAGAAATATATGCGAGAGCGCAACGACATGGTCATCGTCATACTGCACGCCAAGGTGGGTTATTAAGGGTCTCAAATGCCTGACCAGGTCGGCAAGTGCGCCTTCTTGTGGTTCGCATTGCAATTTTTAATTTAGAATATTTGTGGTTGTAAAAAAAGTGTCGCCGTCGCTGACCGCGACAATTGTCGTTGTTGTTGTCATCTTAATCTTAAGGCAGCCGCGGCCGCAGCCACAGCCACAGCCGCCCGGCCGGCAATGGGCCGTAGTTGGATCGACATCCTTCACACTTGGCTGCCCTCAAATTGAGCAACGCGATGGCTATGGTAATGGCGTCGGCAGTCGGCGGCAGCCGGCGACGACAGTCAGCCACAATAAAATAATTGAAAATTAATTACACAAAACTCTAAATAGCGTAGCTGCGGTTGATCATTTTTGCTCGATAATCGTCAGCTCTGATTGCTGATTGCATTGTTAGCTAAATTAAACCATAATCACGAGCCAATCAATTTGATCAAGTTATTTCAATTATGTATTGTAATGCCCTCGCAACTCCTAGGGCTTTATTTTAAAAAGGAACCCAGGCAGTCTTTTGTGGTTAATTTTTCTTGAAATTCATTCATATATCCTTTACAATTTTTAATACTTTTTAAAACACCTAAGAGTTAAGTTTCATTACGAAAATAGCTTCGCTTTTCTCATCGAATATCCTGCAAGGCATTCAAGCATTAACTTATTACTATTATTAATATTTCTTGACTATAATACCTTGCGATTCTAAATTAAATTTTTCCTCAATCAACTTTGAAAGTTTAACCTTTTCTATTACTATTCTATGTGTTTATATATCCTTTACAATTTACAATACTTTTTAAAAGATTTGAGGGCTGAGTTTTCGTTTCGAAAATAGCTTCGGCTTTCTCATCGAACATCCTGCAAGGCATTCAAGCATTAACTTATTACTATTATTAATATTTAATTACTATAATGCATTGTAATTCCAAATTCAACTTTTCTCAATCAACTTTAAAAGTACAACTTTTTCTTAAGTTCAAAAAAGAAAAATGAAGTTAGTGTTCCACTTTTTTAGCTGCCTGCATAATAAAGTGATTTGGGGAAATACTGTTTTATTTATGAGAACTATTGCGTTATTCTTGTTTATTCTTTAACCATACTGTAAAATGTTAAACGAATTAAAAACAATCCGCTTTAAATGTTTTTTCGTTCGCCCGAATTGAAGGAAAATTGATTTTTTGACATTATTATTAATATTTAATACGTTTGAGCAACAAAAATAGTTCTCAAGCCATAATTATAAAAGTTTCTAATGACATTGGACTTAAAGCTTAAGTAATGAACAAAATACAATTTCTAAAACGGCACTCTTGTTTGTATTTAATGTTTATAAATTAATGTGCTTTACAGGTCGCCCAAAAGTCGTACGGTAATGAGAAGCGTTTCTTTTGCCCGCCCCCATGCATTTACCTATTTGGTAATGGCTGGCGTCGACGCTACGAGGAGATGCTGCAACAGGGCGAGGGGGAACAGGGCGCCCAGTTGTGCGCCTTCATTGGCATCGGCAGCTCGGATCAGGATATGCAGCAACTGGATCTCAATGGCAAACAATATTGTGCGGCCAAAACGCTGTTCATTTCAGATTCGGATAAGCGCAAGCATTTTATGCTGTCCGTGAAAATGTTTTATGGCAATGGCCACGACATTGGCGTATTCAACTCGAAACGCATTAAAGTCATCTCTAAGCCGTCCAAGAAGAAGCAGTCCCTGAAAAATGCCGATCTGTGCATAGCCAGCGGCACCAATGTGGCGCTCTTCAATCGTCTGCGCTCGCAAACAGTCTCCACCCGCTATTTGCATGTGGAAAATGGACATTTCCATGCCTCGTCAACGCAATGGGGCGCCTTTACGATACACTTGCTCGATGACAACGAGTCCGAGTCGGAGGAGTTTCAAGTGCGCGATGGCTACATCCATTATGGTGCTACAGTCAAGCTAGTGTGCTCGGTGACGGGCATGGCTCTACCGCGCCTCATCATACGCAAAGTGGACAAACAGATGGCATTGCTGGAGGCCGATGATCCTGTTTCGCAGCTGCACAAATGTGCCTTCTATATGAAGGATACGGATCGCATGTACTTGTGCTTGTCGCAGGAGAAAATTATACAGTTTCAGGCCACGCCGTGTCCCAAGGAGCCGAACAAAGAAATGATTAACGATGGTGCCTGCTGGACAATAATCTCCACAGACAAGGCGGAGTATCAGTTCTACGAGGGCATGGGACCAGTCTCGTAAGTTCCCCCACAAACCGTCCCTCCTTCAAACCCTATTTTCTACTCCCGAACTATTGCAGCTCTCCCGTCACACCAGTGCCGATTGTTAATTCCCTGAATCTTAATGGCGGTGGCGATGTGGCCATGCTGGAGCTCAGCGGCGATAACTTTACGCCGCACTTGCAAGTGTGGTTTGGTGATGTCGAGGCCGAGACCATGTATCGCTGCACGGAGACGCTGCTCTGTGTGGTGCCCGAAATCTCGCAATTTCGTGGCGAATGGTTGTGGGTAAGTTTTTCCATTTTAATTTGATTTTTTAACTTTTTTTTTTAAATATTTGTTGAGTTATTAAATTTGTTTATTAAAAAAATATATATGCAGAATTGAAATTGAATTGTTGGTTAACTATTTTAATTATTTTTATGATAAAAAAAAAGAATAATTGGGTTTTAAAAATGATTTTTAACTTGGAAAACGCAATCTTTTTTCAAATTAAATTTTCTGATTTTTCCTAACGTTGCATATTGAATGAAATGTAGTTAAATAAATGTACATTTATTTATTATTCATTTTAGTTCTTTTTATGCTAATATATGTATAACAAAAATTGGGTCTTTAAAATAATTTTAAAGTTAGAAAACGCAAATCTTTTTTATTAAATTTATTTTTCAAATTACATTTTCTGATTTTCCCTGTCGTTTTATATTATTGAATGTTGAATGAAATGTATATATACATTTATTTATTATTCACTTTAATTCTTTTTATGCTAAAAAAAATGAAGGAATAATTGGGTCTTTAAAATGATTTTTAAGTTAGAAACGCCATTTTTTCTGTAAATTTGTTTTACAAGTTAAAAATTGTCTGGTTTTCCCTGTCGTTCTATATTATTGAATGTTGAATGAAATGTAGTTATATATACATTTATTTATTATTCACTTTAATTCTTTTTATGCTAAGAAAAATGAATAATTGGTTCTTAAAATTGATTTTTAAGTTAGAAAACGCAATTTTTTTCTGTAAATTTGTTTTTCAAATAAAGTTGTTTGATTCTTGATAGATAGCTGGCTAGCTGTGAGCTCTTGTTGTATGATCTCTAATCCTCTAACTGTTCCTCTCTGTTCCCTGCAGGTGCGTCAGCCCACACAGGTGCCCATTTCGCTGGTGCGCAACGATGGCATTATTTATGCCACGGGTCTAACGTTCACGTACACGCCGGAGCCGGGACCGCGTTCGCATTGCAATCAGGCCGAGGATGTTATGCGTACGCGCCACAATAACAACAACAACATCACAAGCATTAGCAATAACAACAACAATAGCAACAGCAATGCCGGCAGCACACACTCACCTGTTAGCGTCGGCAACTCCGGCAGCGTGCAGCAACAGCAACAACAACAGCAACAACAGCAGCAGCAGCAGCAGATGCATCAGACACTGCCCTCCATCTCAGAAGTGCAATGGAACAGTCATGGGAGCGGCTTGTCTTGAGTGCGGCAGTACCGCCTTATTTTGCAATTCGATTTACTTTTGACATTGGACAGACGTAGACGGGAACGTTGCCTAAGTTATTTAAAATTGTAGTAATAATTAATAATTTGAATTGTTCATTTTGTGTAAGCTCATGGTTTTCTATAACAAATCCATTCCAAATGTGCGAACAATTTCTCGTCGCTTTTTCTTTAATAAACAAACAAACAAAAGTGTTTAGTCCTAGGCAGAACCAATAGATTTGTAAATGAAAAAAAATTGATTGTACATAGCTTATAACTCGAAAAATTGACACTGAAATTATTTGTAGTTAAATATACATTTATATACACACAACAAACACATATATATATATACATTTATATATATATATATTAAGTACACTTATATACTTATGAGAAGGCATATGCCACAACAACAAAATGTGCGTATATGTATAATTTTTGTAACATATATTGGAACAAAGAAAAAGACAAACTTTAGTTATAGGCGAAGAGATGAAGGAGAGAAAAACGAACATACAAAGCTACTTATAAATAAACTGAAAACATAAATTTGAAAAATCATGTCTAGCTTAAATCTGATTTTGGTATTTGTGTTAAGTGCCGTTAGAAGGCAGCACTCCCCCGCTTCACCGCTCCGCCAAATTGCGATCTAAATCGCAAACAATGAGAAAATCTTGGCTCGTGTGAACTTTTCAAAACAAACACTTACAAAACAACACACAAAAAATATATATATTAAAGAAAAAAATGGAAAGAAACGAAGACAAGTGCAACTCTTCCCACGGTGGCATTTTTTGTCTCTAAATAGAAACTTTAATTACAGTTGGCTGCCAGGTTGTGGTTGAGGCAGAGCTTCATTTGAATTTTGTTTCCATTACGGACTAACGCAAAGGCAAGAAATATAAATCGCGCGCCCATTGTTTCCGTTTATAAGTAAGGGAGCAGAATTTTCTCACAGCCCCCAGTTGCGTTTTTCATCTAAAGTGGTGAGAATATTTTTTTGGCATTGCTGTTTTACTATAATTTTTATGCATTATTTGTTACCTGTTTTTGCCGTTCATGTTTATGTTGCTGCTGTTGTTGTTGTTTTACAAATTAACGAGCAGAGTTTTGCATTAATTATAGCACTTCCGTTGCCTAAACTAATCACAGTAACGAAACGACGAGCTGACAAACTCAAAGCTGCAGAGTCTTATGTCTGTTGGAAGCTATAAACGCGGGAGTTGGAGGTGGAAAGCAGCCAATGAGTTTCTTATCAGACCCGCGAGCCAAGTGGCAAGCTCAGCCATGCAACAAGTTGATTTGTGCAACTCACCCTTAAGCCTCAAACATCTTGTGAGAAATTTTCCTTACCTATACACCCTGCTTTAATTAGAGCATGATGGGTTTGCCGACACAGCTTGTCACTGCTTGTAGCTATTCACATTTTTTGGACATCTTTTGTAGAATTTCAAATATTTAAATCATAATTGAGGCGGATGAGTATTACATTGTGATCATGAATAACATATTTATCAATATATTTCTCCATTTTTATTTAAACAGATTTCTCTCTTAAAATATTTATTGAACTTTCATTTTCTTTGCAATACTTTTCAATTAATTTTTACCTTTTCCTATTTTTATATTTATTGAGTATTCTAATTTTTTACATTTAATCAATTACTGCAACATTTTAGATTTTTCTGTTGCTCCATGAATGAAGTTTAAATTAAAAATCTGAGATTTCTTAAAGTGTTTTCATGAATTTTCATTTTCTTTGCAATATTTTTCAAATTATTTGATTTTTAAATTGTTTTTTTTTCTGAATATTCTAAAATTTAATTAATTACTGCTACATTCAAGATTTTTCGCCTGCAACATGAATGAAGTTTTAATTTACAAATCATTGAGCATTATTTTTCAGTTAAAATAAAAGTATAAGTGGATGTGAAGATATACATTGCGTCTAGCTTCGAACCATTATTTAAATTTTAGATATCTCGCTGTAAAGTAGATTTCTCAGTATTTTCTTCCTCCAGTAGCTAATTTATTAAGATAGCAAAGTTCTAGATCATTTATTAAAGCACAAATACCCCCCTTTTCTTCTTATTTGAATAGCTTTAGAAATATATAGGTATACTAAGCAGTTGTACTTTGTACTACAAGTATATCTGATGTTTTCTGAATCCAAATCCATCAATTTTCAAATTAAAAGAAGAAAAGCAGGAATAAAACTACACGGCCTAACAATTTAGATATCCATGATTTTTAGATATAAAAAATTGGCACAAAACGTTTCATACAAGTATATTGTTTGCATATAATCAGTGAATTAAATTAAATTTTGCTTTAAAAAAAAAATGCATAAAAATTTAAACAAGCCCCGAACCACCTAAAAATTCTGTCTTTATGAAAAATACTTTTTTAAAATAGTTTATGTACGATATTTCACAAATTTCGTTTATTTTCATTCAATAAGAAATCAATTCCTTTCTTATTTTCGTACAAAAAAAAAATGCAGATTAGAATATACATCAAGAAAAGTCAAACATAAATCCCAAAAAAGCTGCGTGTGAAAAAAATGTGTCTACATTTTTTAATTATTTTTAACAATTCTGATGCTTTGCGCAAGAAAAAAGCAAAAACGACAGCCATTCTTATTCCATTCAACACTTGTAGTATATACAAGGATAATTTTTTATTATTATTATTTATTATTATTTTATTGCGAATCGGCGTGCAAATTTTACCAAATATAACATTTTCATTTTTTTTTAAAGCAACAATCAAGATCAGTTATATCCTTTTTATCGACTATATAAAGAACAATTTCAAAATTATTGAGAATAGTAAGAAGAACAAGTGTAGTTAATTGTTTTGCCCAAGTAGTAGAGAAGTATTGCTTCGTTGTAAAAGAAATGAGTTCGTATGCTGTTTGAGCAAAACAAAAGACTTTGACAACAAACTCGACTTGCTCTTATTCGCTTCCCATGATATGAACGTAATGAGTTGCACGTCATTGCGTGCTTAGTGTGGCACTCACCACCAACTAACCAACCAACCAACCACCACCACCGCCACGACTGCCACCAATGTCTGTGGCAACTATAATTGTGGATGCAACTTCTTAAGGTCGTCGTCGTCGTCACCAACGTCTTCGCGTTCTTTTCTTATAAGAAGCGCTGAATATGAAATTAGTTGAATTTTTAATGAACATTCACATTCTAGTGCATAATTTCTAAGCCTCCCTCGTTGCCTATTCGCATTATCTCTCTCTCTCTCTCCCTTTCCCCAGAGGCTCTCAGGTGGTTGCGTGCTTAACCACCTTCAAGAGGGGAAATTTCTTAAGTTGCCGGCGACCCACTCTGCACTAATAAAATGTTAATTATCTTCAAATCTGAGTTTCGCCCGCTGTTGCACACAATTCGTGGGAAAAGTGACAAACGTGGGAGCCAAAAGTTCGTACTTCTCAGGTTACATAGCCTCAAGTCTATTTTAATATGCGATGCGATGCGATGCATTTCATGGGTCAAGCACAAATAGAGAGAACTTAAATAGGAAATCAGCGATTAAGTGACAATGCAAATACAAGCACAACAAATTAAGGATCACTACAGATAATATAACTTATTCGAGTATGAATGGAAACTATTATTTTATAGTTTTTAATTTCTGGCTGCCTAGAACCCGTATGAAACAAAAATATTGTTGCCTTCTCTTTACTTATTAATAATTCTTTGAACGGCTTTCTTCTAAATATTTTTTTAAAAAACAAACAACTTTTACAACTTTCTCAAATTTTTATTTTTAATTATAGTTTTATCTTTTATTATTTGAGTATTTTTATTTTATATGTTTAATATGTTATTTTTATTTCTTTATCAATAATTCTTTTCATTGGGTCTCTGACTTATTTATGCTGAGAGTCGGGGCATTTGGCAAATCAACGCCCCCACATTCGATGTTAGATATTATTGGAACTTTTATTTATTTATTCTTTAATTTAATTTTATTTTTTTAAGTTCTCTATTATATTGATTGGTTTTTTAACATCGGCAGCTTTTTTGTTAATGAAATAAATAAATAAATAATCTTAATTTTTGCTTGGAAATTCCCAAAAAATAGTAAAGTAAATACAAATATTTCGTCCTATTATTTTTTCGGGCACAGGCATACGACGTTTTTCTATGTGAATAATGTATAGTTTTATTAAACTACCGTGTAAATAAAAGTATGGAACACTTCGTATATACATATTTATTTTACAATATTCATTTAAATTTATAGTAAACTCCTGTTTGTTGGTTTTTAATTCAATTTTCATAAACTTCAACGAAATGAAATTAAGAATTGGCGTAAGGAATATTTTCTAACTTACTACTCGCCTTCTGGTATTTATTAAATAGATTAAATAATGTTGAAGGCGGACAGTAAATGAGTCAAGGTTTGTAAATAAAACTTCTCCTAAAATAAGTAAAATAATACGAGGCCTTCAAAAATCAAATCTTTTTTGGTTCCAAAAACCTTTGCAGTTTTAGAAATAATTAAAAAGATCACTCCGGGAACACCATTTTGACGATTCAAACCGAATAGAAGAATATACAGAAAGGGAGTTTTTTTTTTATTGCTTTGAATGATAAAATAGATTTTAATGAATAGAGAAGGATGTTGAAAATTATAATAAATAGTGAAGGTCATATTTGTAGAAGTACAGGTACAAAAACTTCTATTAAATTCATGGAGGAAGAACTGGAGATCCAACTGTAATGAGGCTACTAATATTCGAATTATATAGAACCATGTCAGCAACTCACATCGGCAGCGGCAAGTGTCCAAATAACAATCATTTGCACTCAATAGAGGCTGCTTCATCTTAATAATCCTATCGATTTATATAGTAGACCCGCTGACATCACCCTTAACATTAAGGACACAGCCAAACGAAGGCTACATGATTGGGTTTTCTTTGCAGATTGATTAAAAAATGAAAAGATTGATTAAAGATTATTCTCTTTCATTTAGTTTGTCGTTCCAAATAGACCCTCTGATATCACCCATAACAGGAACGCCACATTTTAAAAAGAAATTAACACTCCAGCAGTTTTTTTTTTTAATATTTTGTGTATAATTTATTAATAATTGAACATTTCTATGTATTTGATACAAAACGTCAGTACAGAAATGTATGTATAAGATATAAATAAGTACACAGTGAGTCGAAATGCATAGATAACACGTTTATATATAAGTATGTATACTTGTATATAAATATAAAGGTAGATATGTAAGACATTTGTTTTATGTATATCTATAATAATAATTTAAGTAAACGGAATGTGCCATAAATGACTAAGAAAGTTGAGAATTTATACAATATATAGAGGTGTACAGCAAAAAAGAAAAAACGGTTTGGTATATATCGCCAGGCAAGGGGAATATTGATTGTGTGATAGCGGTGATGGGAATTATGGATTACTTACATCATTAAGTACTAGATATATAATTTATTGCATTTTATAATTTATATAATAACTATAAATATTTAGTTATATGTGTATTATTTAGTTGGCTCGTATCGTACGATTTTTGTTCATATTGGTCAGCATCAGCGATATATACGAAGTGAGCAGATCGTCCATTTTATAACCCAGCGATGTCTCGCACAAAAGTTTCGAGCCGCGCACCAAATTTCCAATCGTCATATGGAAATAGGTATTACCCGAAGACCAGTTCGAGATGCGCGTAAAGGGATGCGTGACCAAAATGTCCTATAAAATATAAAAGAGTATAACAATTAACCATAACATTATAGTTGAAATATCGGCCTTACCTTGGTTACTGGATGAATGAGACTAACGCCATGCTTGTTAATAGCAATAAGCAGCATTTCGGGATAGTTTGGCTCGGTGGTTTGCTTAACCTCGAAGAAGGCAGATCCAAAGGTTGGCCATCTACGAAAGAGATTCACGATTAGCACAAATGTAAAAAGTTGGAGAATAGTGTGTGACTGCCTGCCCAGACCTGTAGACAATCTTGAGAAAAGCCACTTTGGCATCCTCAGAGCTCATGCCACCATCTTGATTATACGAGGCCACAATTGCACGCTTCCATTCATTGGTGCTTTGCATTTTCATAATATCGGATGGTATCAGTTCACGCAGCATTTGTCTGAAAAGAGAGAGGAAAAGTGTAAATTTCAGATTATTTGGTTTATCGGTCTGTTCGTCCGTCCGTCTGTATGAACGCCTGGATTTCGGAAACGGCTGAGCGTACTTTAACCAAACTTGGTATGTAGACGCTTCTAGTCTCTATGCAACAAAAGTTTATTTTTTTTTTTTTTTTATTTTCTGTCCACATTTCAAAAGCTATATAAACCAAACTTTGTACACGTGTACACAATTATAATTTGAACTTACGGTATGGCTTGCAGCTCCTGTTTGTTTTCGCCGAAGCGTACGCGGAAGACTAGTGCAGCTAATTTGGCTGCCTCCTCGCGCGAACACTTGTGATAGCCACGCAATAGCTTGGGTAGCTCCTGGTGATAATGGAAGATTAGATCAGCATTGCGATCCTTGCCTGGCACAGTGTTGGTCCACAGTTTCTTCATGAAGAACACCTGGTAGGTGAATTGGGGATTGGCGCCATCGCGTATGGGTCGGGCCTTCTTGATCCAATCCGTGAGATGGCGCACAAAGTCGAAGAAGAAATCACCCTCTGGCACGGAAATGACCTTGTCAGCGATTTTGACAAAAAGCGAGAAGCCCTCGCTGGTGCGTAGCGACAAACGCTGCGATATGTTATTGCAGAAATCCTTGGCGCGCGTCGAGGAATCTACCTCGAAGGCCTCGTCGGTGTCATCGGGAAAGTAGACCTTGTGAAAGATTTGCGTTGTCTTGTGCTGTATGGCCTCCACTTCGACCTGATGCGGCGGATACTTGCGCTGTCCATGGCGTATGGTCTTTTGTAGGCGATGCATCGAGTCTTGGGAAATGGGATGACGACGCGTCCGCAAGAACATCATCAGCTCTTTGAGCAAACTTTGCGAGCAGGCAAACAGCCCGGTGGCTAGCCACATCAGCTCCCAACCACGCTCCTCGGACATGCGATTGCGATTGTCCGTCAACTGTTTCATCACTTGACAGTAGATCTCATCGCGCAAGATTTCATGCTTGAGCGGACCATCGAAGATGTGGTCGGTGATCTCATTGCCCATGCGGGGTCGCTTCGAGGGCAAATCGCCCATGTATTTAAGTATGGCAGCAAAGGCAAAACAGGCCTCCTCGGCCAGCTCCTCTTTGCTCTGCAGCTTGCGCAGCAGAGGCGCCTTTATGGGGTCCCGCGAGTAACGCCAAATCTCCTCACTCCGCTTGGAGCTCAGGGTGAGCGTCTTGGACATTGTACGCTTGGGAGGCAAACGGAAATGATCCAGCGCATATTCCATGAGCGTGTGTGGGCGATCCCGTGGTTCGGCCACGCCATTTGATGCCATGCTGAGGCGTCGGCCGTGATGCGCCTCCTCAACGTTGAAGAGCGCCAGAATGTCCTGCGGCGGTTTACTTAGCGTCGGCAGCACATAGACCGTCTCGGCTGGGAAATCACCGCGCTCCTGGGAGCGATCGCAACGACCTATGCACCAGCCATTGTTCAGCACAGACTCGCCGCACGATTCATCCTCCAGAATGATCAAGTCACCCTTGAAGAAGGACAAGAAGCTCGTGCCGTCCGATGGGGCGCGATAGTCCTGCAACGCAATGACATATTTCGACCTTTTTTTCAGACCATCCAGAAAGTAGACGACCAGATCACGTATGTCCTCGGCATTGGGGCTCTGGAATGTGAACTCCTCGCCACGTACAGTGGACAAGCTAAAGGTTTGCGTGAAGACCTTATTTGTCTTTTGACTGGACACCGATGTGATCTCGGGAAAGCTCAGTTCGAGCAGCACCTGCTCCTGATCATCCACCACATAGACGCCTGTCCAGTTAACCGCTATGATCACATCGTTTTTGGGCAGATTTGGACCCGAATTCCGATAGGCCTCGTAGAAACGTGAGAAGAGTAATGGCCACTTGTATTTGGCATAGCTGACGATGTCCTCTTTAATCTTGAGCGGTGCCACTTTATCCTTGACATAGTAGCTCTTTTTATAGGCCTGCAACACCAGAGCTGCCCAACGTTCGATGGCCTTGTCGACGCCGGTCAAACAGAAATCGGGTATGAAATTGGGCAACAGTGTAAAGAGACGCTCCATGGACATGTCTGTGCCATATTCAATGAAATATTGCTGCGCGGCAATCATGGCCAAATCCTCTTCCTTATCACAACGATATTCGCCGAACTTCACGCCGCGCACAACCTGCTGGTAAATGAGATTGGTGGCCACCTGGTCGTGGGTCGGTTCGTGCCAGGGTGCAAAGATCTCCTTGCGAAAGAATAGACGCCAAGGTGCGTTACGTTCCTGTGCCCCCTGCTCCTTGGCATACTGCTCGCATTGTGAGATGGCATCCATCACATGGTCCCCACCACTGCCCAGAGAGCTCACCTTGTCGAAGAGGGCTATGTAAAGCGAAAAGCCGAATTGATCCTTTAGCGTGATCTTATCCGATAGTTGATTGCACAGTTCTCGTGCCGTCGTTGCTGAGTCCGCCAACAATGTCTTCGTATTGCCATCCATAAAGGTAATGGGCAGCATTATAGGCTTCTTAGACTTCGTCGCTTGCAGCTCCAGCCACGAGGGTGGCTGGTTGCGTGTGCCATTGTTAAACGTGCGTTTCAGACGCTCCTCACAGTAGGGCGCATATCCGGGCGGACCTTCCCGTATGAAGGCGCGCAAGTAGTTGACAAACTTCTCAGATGGTGCGAAGCATCCAACGCATAGGGAAAGTAGAATCCAACCACGTGCATGCGAGGATTTTAGTGGATTATTGGTTAGCTGCTTGCATATTTGACAGTAAATCTCATCGCGCAGCTCGGCACGCAAAATGCCATGACCAATAATGAAGTGCAGCTTCTCCAGATTCGAAGTAGGACGCGACTGCAGCCACGATTGATAGCTATCGGCCGTATATTCATCGTCCTGCAGACGGCGACGCACATCCTCGCCCAGCTTATTCTTGCGCTTCAGTGTCAGCGAGACGAGCTTGTGGCGAATGGAGCGGGGCTTTTGCTTAAGAAAGGCCTCAGGATCCAGGCCCATGAGCTGGGCTTCCTGAAACTCCTGTGGATATAGAGAGGGGGAAATAAAATAGCATTAATACACAGTAAGTGCTGTCTCAACAACTGAAACTCACCTTGCTTCTAATAAAATTGCGGCCCAGCGTTGCCGTCACCTTGGACATGACCGAGGTGGTATCCATGCGATCCATGGTGTGGTATTTGGGTTCTGGCATATCGCCAGTAAAACGTAATATTGTAATCCATAGGGCTTGAGCAGCTAACTGATCGCCCTGCGTGTGTAGCGGTAATAGCGGATGCTTCAATGCCTTCTTCGCATATTGATGATTCACATTGCCTTGGAAATAGGTGGCTGCGAATTTCTGGAACTTGAATTCGGACAGATCTTCCTCATCCTCGGATATGTGTATGGGTCCAATGCAGTCCTCTTGATTCACTGTCTGTCCATGGGGCAAATCATTGAACACAGACGTTTCGCGCCCCCCGTGAGGCGTAGGCGCATCGCTGCTAGAATCGGGCAGGAAGTCGAACATGGCCTCCACCAATTTTCCATCATCCACGGGCTCCTCCTGCTTGCGTGCGGCATCATTGATAATGTTCTTCTTCACTTCCACACGTCGCCGCTCCTCAATTTCTTGCTCCATCTCTCGCCGCTCCATCTCGTGAAGACGATCACGATAATGCTGTTCGGCGATTTCACGGGCATGTTTGTTGCCCTTGTGCATCAGTTCCTGTTCCTCCACCTTCCGCAAATGCAACACTTCGGCAAACTGCTTGTATTCCAGCCGCAGCTTACGATAACGTCGCACGGCAATCATGCGGCGCACGTGCGATTGAATCTTAATTACGGCCCACATTTTGTGACCGTATTCACGACGCACCAAATAGCCGCGCGCGTGTGCCTGCAGCCCCACAATATGACCACGCAGATGGCGAAACCGATGGGAGAGCACGCGTGAGCGTATTAGGGCCTGCAGACGCATATAACCCACACGCATTTGCTGATACCGCTTGCGTTGAGCATAGCCCTTCCACACGCGTTGCACATTCACGGCCGCGGCCTTCATGCGTAAGAAGCGTCGGCGATACACCCAGCCTCTAATAGTTCTCTGGAGTATTAATATTTTGCGCGTTAGGACACGATCTCGTTCCTGTTCGAGAAATAGATCATGTGCGTCCTTCAAGAAGACCTTCGTATGGCCCAATTGATAGTCGGATTTGCCCAAAACGACGGCACAAATGCGTGAGGTGGCCGCCTGGCAGTCTGTCCGATGTGCTGGCGGCACTCCGGGTATCAGGAAACGATAGCGCTCCACAAATTCTCTGAAGCCATGCCTTATGGGATAACCAGCACGTCTGATGCGTATGGTTTCCATCATTCCCGAATAGCGCAGTTGTCTACAACACAGACCTCTGTCAAACATCATGGGTTTCTTCAATTCATTCGGCTTAATGCACCTGATAAAGAATGGCTGGCAAGAGCACAAGGTCTTCATCAGTGCATCCAGACTCTTGCGGAATTGTGTGGAAAGTGTTGGCGTTCTTTTGCGCGTCTCAGCCCCCATTTCAATATCCTGACTGAATATCTGACGCAAAAACTTATTGCCACTCTGACTGACCAAATGCAACAGATCCGGACTGAAGGTGTCTCGATTTTTGTCCAAGAACCCACGCGTGTCATAGAAAACCACGCCAGCGAAATGGTTTAACCCGAAACTGGTATTTATGTCCGATTTCGGCTTCAGATAGTTCTTGTGGGCGCCGTGCGTTTTGTGCAGTTTGGCCAACATGGTTTGGTCGGTGCCTTTGGGAAAACGCGCCTCCTCATCGATCAGCGCCATAATATTCAACTGCTTGATGGCAATCAGATCCAATGCATCCTGATTATCCACGAACTCAATGTGTTGCCAATTGATGGCCTCATGATTGTACTCCTCCTGCTCCAGCTTGAAGATGTGCTGTACAAAGAACTGCTGCAAATTCTCGTTCGCATAATTAATGCAGAACTGCTCAAAACTGTTCTGATCAAAGTTCTCAAAACCGAAAATATCTAGGACGCCGATGGCATTGCGTGAGGTGGCACGCGGCTTATAAATAGCCGTATTTATCTTGCGAACAATATGCACAAAGAGACGGCCATAGATGCCCTTCACAAAAGCATCGCGTACATCAACAGACTGTTCCCGCGATAATGTGGAAACCACAGTCTCCCCGTGCGCGAAGAGTGTGCGACGCGTTAGGGCATCAATCAATGGCTGAATGGGCAATCCAAGCAATCCGGCAACACGTTCCACATTAATGTGCTCAGGTATTTCCGTGGCATCCAAATTATCCACGACCGTAGCCTTGTATTTAATGTTGCCGCAGTGCAACAAGGCCGCCAATAGCTTGATAATCTCCCAGATCTCCTGATCCGAAAAGAGCAGCACTTTCATGGCGGAACGTATGTCCGAGAATTCGGCAGCATCGTCGCGTCCTTCGCAGGTTATGCTTTCGCCACCCGTCAAATATCTACAGAGAATCAGACAAAAGCATTACGAACGAATAGAATTTTAAAAGAAAAGTTAAATCAATTTGAAATTACTTGTAATCGGCAGCCACACCCAAGTCGAGACGACTCTTTTCATCTGCGGAAAGACCCGCGAGTATGCAGTAGAAAACGTGATAATTACGCTCGCTGTGATTTTGAGAGACAATGCGAGATTTCTCCAATAAATATTGCTCGATCTTGGCGCCCTCGATTACGCCGTTCGCGCTAAAGTGTATGTCTATGTATTTGCCAAAGCTGTAAGAGAAACACCGGGAGATAAATAGTTGTAAAGTCTCTATTGCTTCCATCATGTTCTCAAATATTTCAACTCACCGCGAGGAATTATCGTTGCGTATGGTTTTCGCATTGCCAAAAGCTTCGAGTATCGGATTTGCTTCCAATATTTGCTGCTCGATCCACGAGTGCTTGCCACTAATGGCGGCCAAATATTGCAGTATTAGCTTTGTGCTCTCTGTTTTGCCAGCGCCCGATTCGCCGGATATAACAATGCATTGATCCTGACGATATCGCTTCATATGCGCATAGGCATTATCGCCAATGGCGAATATATGCGGTGGCAGTTCCCCGATTTTGCGCTCCTTATAAAGCTTTATTTGATCAGCCGTATAGATGGGCAGTATCTGATAAGGATTTACGGCCACCAAAATGGAACCGGTATAGGTCTGTGGAATGGGAAATATACAACATTTTAAAATGTAAATCGAGTTTAGAATAGGGAGAGATTTTTATTTGAAGAAATTATTAAATATTAAAGTAATTAAAAAATATGAATTTGGAAAAGAATATAGAAAAGAGGGAAATTGATGTATATAGTAAATGAAATAGTAAATCAAGCAAGTGTAGAATTTGTAGATAAAGAAAATCATATACGGTACAATTTATATTATACATGGAGTAGAAAAAATGTATGAATGGATAATTAACTTTATCATCAACAACTTTAAATTATGTTTTAAAGAAATACATTTGATCAATTCAGTTAAACGTATCATGAAGCATAACAAGCGATGTCTGAGAACTTTATGCAGGTAGAGTCATCAAAAGGGAGTCTTCTTTAGAGGTTATTCAATTTATAGTTAGAATACGATTTTGAATTGCTAAGAAATTTAAACTGTAACAATATATATGTTTTCTAATATACGTAAGATAGAAGGCATCACATATAGATAGAAGGCTTCTAATATATGTATGACAGACATAAATATTAATATCTCTTAAAGTATGGTCAGAAATAACTAACCAGCTCCCTGCGCTTCATATCAAAGACAAAGATATAGTTTCGTCTTCACACAATATCAAAGAAAATAATGCTGAAGACGCTTATAAATTGGAAACACTTCGTTACAGGTTGGTTATAATTTCCAAAGCGTAATAGTTTACAGATTCTTTAAAATTTATAATAAGCACCCACAGCTTTAGAAAAGTTATCTTATTCTTTCTTTTTTTTTAAAAAGGTGATCTCTCTCTCTCCCTTAAAACATGTACTTACATATATCAGATTTTCCTTGTAGCGTATTAGCAGATTGCGCAATATTCCGGCCTCGTGAAGATCGCCTAGCGATATCATATCCTCCACACCCTGAACCGACGACGCATGCATGGCCTTGATGCGACGCTCGGGGGCCAACCAAACCTCGTCGCCATCATCGTCACGCACCTGTATGCGACGACCCTCTGCGGAGATGACACGTGCTCCAATGGCCACATCGAATTCTCGCCCCGACGCGGGCTCTATCCAGATGTAGTCACCCTGTGTGGAGGAGTAGGAGTTACATGAATTAGTTACATAGCTGAGTCAACAAAGTAAAGGCGCCGCCGTCGTCATTGCATTTGACATTCGACGGCCAAATTTGTGAGCTGTTGCCATGGACGGGCCATAAAAATGTTGCGGGATATCTTTGTTGTTGTTGTTGTTGTTGTAAGAATCACTTGAGCGTAACATGAAAGCCAACCATGGGCATATATGTTTATATAGTACGTACTATATATTATGTACTTGCATTCGAGTACATGTGAACTTCCGCTCGTGCCCGTTTTCATGGCAAACTCTCCGTCAGCTACTATGTGTTTTGTTTTTGTTTCTCATTGTCTTCTACTTGTACTTACACGTGTTACAATCACCATGTTCGTCGTCCTTCATTTACTGTTCCTGGGTGCATCCAACACAATTCTCACTTGCTGTTTGTAAAAGAAGAGGAGAGGAAAGCATAACTCACTTTTAATGCCTCTTCATTTGAATAACAGACAATGGGGGGAAACTTTAAACGCTCACTAAAGAAACCAGAGAAGCTTCTTTCTTATTTGAATTTTTTAAACAGCGCCTAAATGAAGTGAACTGACTTGCCCCGAAATTGTTTAAAGTAATTTGACTAATTTAAATTGTGAAAACAGGGAACAAGTTGAAATTAATATAAGCTATCAGTTGCTAAAGCATTGCAGCCCTTTTCACCCTTTTGGAGTTTGAATTTCACTGTGGATAAACACTTGTGTTTAAATGGTAGCTTCTACAGCTCCGCTAGAACAAACTGCTTTGTAAATTCAACCAAAAAAAATCAAGTCTAATATAGAGAAACAGCAGATTTTTTAAAGATATTTCTATGATCTAAAATGATTTTTTTTGTCTAATTTCTGCAGTGTTCTTCTCTTCAATGTACCAAAATTCTGATTAAACTTTATAACATCATAAATACAAAATTGAATTGCGTTATCGAAGTAAACAAAAATGATACAATTACAATATTATAAGCCACTATTAAAATATCACAAAAAGCAAATTAGTTTACGTTATCTTTATAAACAAGTAAGATCACAGATCGTTCCTTTGGTAGCTACATACATAAAATAATGGAACTACTTATGTTGTGTAATAAACTGCCATAGCAAATGGATTTGTCCAGCCCATATACCAAAATTTGTTATCCCTAGCACTTATGGTTCAAAAGTTCTCGGCGGTCATACAGACAGACATGCCTGTACCGCCTTGTCTTAATGCTGATAATAAATATGTCTGCCATGCCTTCTTCTGGCTATTACATACAATTCGCGTTTGCAATTATCGGGAGGTTGTGGGGCTTAAAAAGCCTGAAACTGTTCAACTAATAGTGCTTCTACAACCCAAATTTGTTCTCCATTAATCACAAATGGAAAAACAAATGACTTGAATTCGTCTAACAATACCTTAACATTATTATTGCACTGTTAATATGAAGAACAAGTTAAACCGCTCTATTTTTTTTCTTTTGTAGTATAATTTTTAAGTGCGTTAAAATAGAATACCCAGAGTGGCATAAACAAACAACAAGTTAGCACCGCACACACAAATATAAACATGCATACAAACATTCACACACACACACTATCACACACAGACACTTACACAACTGTTGGAAGTTGGAAGAGAAGTCGTTGCCGCAGGCGCAGAAACCGGCTCTAAAAATTAAGGTGAAGTTTACGGTAAATTGAAAGAATTTACAAGTTGTCGTTGTCATCAACGTCGGCGTTTTAGGGGCCGCTGCCACTGACAAGTTTGTTGTAAAAAAAAAAAACCATATAAAAAGAGAAGAAGTCTTTCTTTCCAGCCACACATCTACAAGTATGTATCTCTTTGCATATAACTGACACTTAAGAATTCTATACAAAGCCACTGCATTGATAGTCGCCAACAAATTAGTCAGCCAATAGTCAGCTTTTAGTTCCATTTCATATCTCATACTTTCGTTGCTTTTCTCGACCACTCGAAGGGAAACCGATCGGCTCAGAAAAAAAAAACAAACCTTTAGACATGCAAAAAAGGCTGGCGCATATTTTCACTTTTATTTCCACAAACTCACACACACACACACATACAGACAGACTTGACCATTCAATCAAAATTCGGCACAAATCCAATCTTTTGGCCCCCGTGTGTTCTTTTGGCCCGTGCCCATGACTCGCATTTGTTATGCAAATTGGTAAGTTTCGATTTGTTTTCATTTAAAAAATTTACTTTCATTACATATACGGAGGGGTTAAGAGCTTTAGGAAATAGAAACCTTGTGGCCAGCCAGCGCACAATATGGGCTAAAAAGAAAGGCGCTGGGCGCTTTTAATGACAGTTTGGAGCTGCCATTTGGCCATTTGGTACATTTTCCATTTGCTCCACTCTTACTTACACATAAGTTACTCACTTGCCCAAGTATATACATATGTATGTACTACTATATATGTATATACATACTTATGTCCGTGTATGTGTGTGTAATTGCAACACGCCAGACTCTAAATTGTTGTTTTTGTGGCGCACGTATACCAGTCTGGTTACGCTCTGCCGGTCAAAATACAATGCACACACACACAGAAACACATACACTCACGTTAAAACGCACACACACACACACACACACACACACACACACAAATGCGGATATATATTTCCCGTAATATGCCGCGCCAAGTGTTGAATTGTTGGCTAGGGTTCAACTGTTTAGCTGATTGCTGGCTCCACTAACAGTCGGCCTATTTCGAATTAAAGTACAGTGGTTAACGCCTAAGATGGTAAACCTATTATTAAACGAGAAACATTCCCAGCGCAGCTATATAATATAGTTTATCGATCTTGAGGATATTTTAAAGAAATTGAAGAGACACTAATCAACACTCATATAATATAATGCCACATTTGTCTACGATGGCTTTATAAACTGAGTTTGATTTCTGAACTAATCGTTTGTATGGTAGCTTATAATAATACATCTATTTTATAGAAACTAACATTCTGAAGTTCTAGAAAATTTATTGATACCAAAAATGCCTTAGAACAGTTTTATAAATAAAAGAGAGATAATTAAAATACATCAAGACCTAATACTGGATTAAGAAAGTACTATAATGAGAATTCAATCTCTTAGTAAGGAGTATAAAAAATAATCAAACAATTTAAAGTCCCTTTAATTATTATTATTATTAAAAAAAATTATTTTAGAAAAATTACTATATATTAAAAAAACGCATAGAAAAACTGTTTTTTAAAGAACAATATAAATAAACCTTTAAAAGATACATACATAAAATAAAATTTTCTTTTATATTTAAAATGTAATATTTCCAAAAATGTGTATAAATGTTTTCCCTTTTGTAATAATTCTGTAAATAATATTCCCATAAAAATAGATAAATAAATTCATAAGAAATCAGTTTTATGAGATTCCTAAGTAATATATTCTTTAATATTTATAATGAAGTATTTTTCAAAATTTGTATAAATGTATTTTCTTTCGCTAAACTTCTTTTAATAATATTTCATTCTGTAACTTTTTCTTATAAAAAAATAATTATTTTTCAAAGAACTGATATCTGTAAACGAGTCGCAATCTTCCTCATCAACTATTTACAAAAGAAGTCTTAAAAAAGTTGATCAAATACGAGTGAATTGAAGAATGTATTATATAAGAAAGTATTCTTTGCAGTTATTATTTTGTCTGATGCTGCATTTAATTCATAAAGAACACATTTTTTCTTTATTTGGGGATTATAAAGAACAACGTATTCGCAATATATAAATAAATGAACGTGCTGTTTGGTTTATGAATCATTGAACAACTTTTTAGCGGCAAAAAGTGGATCTATGTATTCGTTTTAGCAGCTTATCTGTTTGTCAGCCTTTTGTGAATTCTTGATGTGAGATCTATTCTCAAAGCAATATCTAATTTCTTCTAAGAGTTTCTGTGACACACATACATATATATGTTGTGGTGATGATTGAATTAGAAAGCAACAGTTTCCCCTTGAGACCAAATTCTTGACACTGTTCATGATTTTGGGTTTTCATTAACTTTCTGCAGTTTAAGAACAGCAGAAACAACTATGGTTTGCTTTAATAAAATTCATAAAACTTCTGGAACATCTCTTCGTTTTTATAAATAAGAAAATTACGTAAAAAATTTAAAATATAAAGAGAAAAGAAACATGTGCCATATATTTACTGCCCTTTTTATAAACAAATCAATAATAAGTGCCTTAAACAGCTGATTTAAATAAATTCGAGTTAGAAAAGGTTCACTGTCTTTGAAAGAATGAAGAAGATATGCAGCTGAAGATTGTGAGATGCTAATCTTTAAGGAAGTTAAAAGATATGAGTATATGTAAGCATCATTCTTTCCAGCCATTCATAGTTTTGATTAGTTAATAAATAATGTTGTATAACATATGTCGATATCTCTTTTAATTAATAGTTAATGTATTGCTTAGTAAATTTTTATCACAACGCATAACGCTACGCACTTTAAAGGTATTTAACATGACTGATAAGCAGAAATACACCTGCTATGGGTGTAGATACATAAGTATATACCTATGTACATATGTAGATAGCTATGTTATTACAAGTATAAGTGGCCCAGAACTAAAGCAATTATAATAAACACTGAGCAATGACAAAGTTTTGGTAGAATTTTTAGCAGAGTTGGCATTACGAACACGTTTTTCGGGCTTATGTGTAGGCACACCTATAGATAAGTGTCGCTCATCAATGATAAACTTTTAAGTTCTGAAGATGGATAGACTTTTACAGATTAGCACGTATACAGTGCACTATTGTGTGTGTCAGTGTGTGAGTATGTGCGTGTGTGTGTGTGTGCGTGTGTGTTTGTGGCACATTACCACATTTCACAGCCACTGAAGTTCATCAAGTCATTAGTGAAAGTTCGTGCTGGCTGCCACGTACATTAATGCATACTCATAAAGAGGCGAGCAAACGCACAACACACACACACACACACATACACATATATACCTACATAGCGAGATAAATACACACATACATGTGTGTGTATGTGTGCATTAAGTTTTTCACTTTGACATTTTTCTTGGGCTCTGTCGAACGCTGCGAGTATGCAAGATTTTTGCTCATCATTGAGACATAAAAGCCAACTAAACTGCTGCATTTGTTAGTTGCCCGCCCCACGACGGCCTGTGATTCTGCGACTCTAACTAAAGCAATAGTAACTAGCAGAGCTACTACTGTTGCTTTTTTGTATGTTTTATTGTTGTTGGCTTTTTATTATGCCGCCACCGACCTTAAAAAAAGTTTCACCAAACAACAGAAAGTCGCTGCGTGCGTTGCAAAGTCGCGAAAGCATCGCCCGGCAGCAGCAAAGGCAATACAGTCGATAATACCTATATGGGAAATTAATTAAGTATGGGAATAGTTTAAAATATTGCTACAGACTGTAATCTATATGTAAGCTATAAAGAAGCGTACAACTTTTCAAGAACGAAATTGTTTTTGAACACATATTTAAATTCAAACTTTATTTATCAAAATAAACATGATGTATATGTTTATAACAAAAAGTTCCAAAAGAACACCTAGATTTTCATCATTATGTACCTAATGGGATTTTAATTAAATGGTGTTTACAGCTTAAAATATTGGAAGTAGAACGTAAGCAATATATGTATATATATATATATATATATATATATATATATATATATATATATATATATATATATATATATATATATATATATATATATATATATGTAAATATTTATAACAAAAGTTTCAAAAGAACACCCAGATTTTCATAATTGTATTCCCATATAGCTAAATTAATTAGGTAGTGTTCACAGCTTAAAATATTGGTAAAGAATGTAAGAAATATGTAAGCTATAAAGAAACTTAAGCTTTTCAACAACGGAATTGTTTTGGAATAGATATATATGTAAATTAAAAATGCCCCCAAAGAACAACCGGATTTTCATTTTAATTCATTTAAAATGTTTAAAAAAAACCCCCATTTTTTTTCAATGGAAACTTTCCTCATCAATTAATTCGTCTGTAATTCCATCAATGTTGAACGATCTATGAAATACTAATAATTTTACTGAAGCAACCTCTAAAATGCAAAAATTACATCGCACTGTTTGAAGCAATTTAATTTTTATTCTATGTAAATAAAAGCGATGCTAATAGTTTCTAAGAAAACGAGCAATTCAACAAACAATTAACACAAATAACAATTAGCAGCACAATCTTAAAGCAAACCTTTTGCCGACCACTTGGAAGCTGCCTTCAATATAAAAATAATAATAAGCGATTCAACACCTTTCAGAACAATGCGTTTGCAAATTGTTCACTACGGCGAAGGCCTACTGTAAATGGTACAGACAAATGTGTGGCCGGCCACACATTGCCATGAATATCGAAAACTTTTGAAACGTTACAAAAGTGTTACCCAGCTTGCATGTGAGTGAGTTAACATTTCCTGCTGGCTGCCAGAATGTGAAGCTACAAAATATCCCGTTGTGCTGCCGATGATGATCACGACAACGACGACGGCGACGCCGCCACACGCATTAAACCGGCCAAACAAGTGTTTTTTATATTTTGGGAGAGCGACAACATCGATGGATCGCGCTGGTCAATCGGCAGCTGCATAGAATTTTATTGTTACGCTCAGACCCAAGCTTCAAGTGCAAGCTCAAGGCTTCGGACAGAAGCATGTGGCTTCCCGCTGCTAGCTGGTTTTCTACTAAAAAAAAAACGAGTAGAACGCTAAGGTAGCGCCAGCCCGACACACGTATGCCCTGCACCCGCCCCTCTCTGCCAAGGTCAAGTGAAAAAGGCGTTCCTATGACAGCTATTCGCCCACAGATTTTAATGAAACGAAATTGCAATCGATTCTAAGAGAACTATATAAAATAATGAGACTACATATACTTGTATGTATGGTAGGGTTTGTAATAAACTCTGCTTTTGGGTTGGGTGTCCCTAGCAGCTATGGTTTTAATATTCCTGAAGCGACATGTCTGTATCGACTATAACAGGTGATCTGCCATGCCTCCTTCTGCTTGTTACATACATACATTAAATGCTTAAAGTTTCGAATATTCCTTTTTATTTAACACTCTGGGTACAGGGTGTAAAGATGGAACTGACGCAAGCATCGCCACCAACACCAACCCAAAGGCACCCATGCATGTGAAGGTGAAGTAAAGCATAAGCCAAGTGCCGGACTTAAAAGTAAAACGCTCTTTGCGCATTCTCTTCAACTGCTCTTTAACTGGCATACAGGTGACTTTGAGTGCCCGCTTCTGTGTGTGTGTGTTGTGTGGGAATTGTATTTGTGTGCGTCTGCATGTGAGTACCGTTCTAGCCAACGAAACCTGAAGCGTAGCTACAATTCTATAATTTGGTCAGAGATTAAGGCAGAAAAAAAATGCAATGCAGCCACGTCTAAATTTATAACTAACACACACATACAGTAACACACATTTGGATGTTCACACAAACACACACACGCCTGGGGGCGGAATTACGCCTTCCGCTAATATTCAAGCTTAGCTTAGCAACTTGTGCGACCCTTTTTACTGCTACGCCCTTGACTGTTCGTTTTTTCTCTTGTTAAATTTTCAGCGCACTTTTCTAGCCGAACACCGTTTCACACACACACATTTACTCAACACACACACACACACCGACAGCCATGGGCACATAGATAGTTGGCTTGCAGGGTGAATGCACTCTTTCTTCGCCGCCGCAGACACTCTCTACCTTGTTTTTCTTTTCTTTTTTTTTTTGAACAGCGCTCGATATTAATTTGCACAATGCTCAGCTGAGTTGTTGTAAAAAATAACATTTTATAATACATAGAACAATTAACACTTTGTACATTTTTGGTCTAACTGGGAACTGGTGGTTTGGTTTAGTTTGGCGGTGTATTCTTTAAAACAGGTTACATAAATAGGTCACGCACCATCGAGCGCTTGTTTTTCCTGTGTGTGCAACAGGTTAAGAACAGGGACTTTAAACTTTAAACGTATCGACACTCAATTAATCAATTGACTTTGCCCTGTCTGCTAGCACGCACCGAAGCCGGACTTGACGTTGATTTAATTGCTCGATACGTTAACTTCTACAATTTATTTTTGTTGTGTTTTCTTTTTGCACGGCAGCTACTACTTACTACGTACGAAGAACCCGAACGCACAACCGATCGCCGTGAGAAAAACGTTTCGACTAAATACAAACAGAGTCGACTCGCCGCGCTGCCACTTGCGCGCGCCAATCGAATAACGGCATTCGATACACGACTTGGAAAAGGTCATCGATGATCCTGGCCTGCAGTCGTATCGGTGTGCATTGAGTAGCAAGCCCTCCCACTCCACCCCACTGTTGTCAATACAGTAGTCTCTGGGATGGCAAGAACCGCTGTAATTACAAATATTTAAAATAATAATATAATGCAACGCAATGTTAAAATATACTCGTATATGCCTTTACATTACTCTCTTTTTCACCGACGAATTAATTACATTATCTATTTAATATTAAAATAGATAATATGGTATAGAATGACGTATTTTGATTATTTAATGCGGTGTATATACTCGTTTTGAAGAATACCTTGATTATATGAAAAAATATATAAAAACGGTCGAAGAGTTAGTAAATAGATAAATAATAGTTGAATTATATTAAATTAAACAATGACAAGAACTGCTATAATTGGTTTCCATCAATAGTGATTTTATTGAACATTCGTTTTGAAATTTTTTGTTTAAAGGTGGTCAGTGAATACACTTGAAATTGGGCGATTGCAAAACGCATCGCGAATTTGTGTGTATGTGGCATAAAACGCGAATAATGTATGTATATGTGTGTTTGTTTTTGTGTCTCTGTGTGTGTTCTTAATTCTTATGTGTCGAGGGGCATCCGCCGGCTTAGCAGAACTTCCATCGGTTGCCGCACTCGTTGCACATGACAAACGTGGTCATCGGCTCATCAGCGGAACGGGTCTGCAATTGATTGTAGGTGCAGTTGCGTTTCTTGCACTTGCCGCATTTGAGCAGATCTGTCTTGGTGCCCTGAACGGTGGCCAACTGAGCGTCGTTGATGGCTTCTTTAACGAACTTCTCGCGCAGTTTCTTCATCTCATCACTGGCCATCTCTTCGGGCGTCATTTTGGCTAATTGCATGGCGGTAACGGCACCGCACATGAAATTGCCGCGCAGTGTTGGATTCTTCGGGTCTTTGAGGTTGGCAACACGCGAACGTATGCGATTTTTGTATTTCATGTCGGTGTTTTTGAACTCCAGGTAAATGGCCTCCTCCAGTTCGGCAGCCATCTCTTCGGGCTCGGCACAACCTTCGGGCACTTCGCCAATTTTTAGGGCATTAGTTAACATTTCGCGGCATTTCAAGCGAACGGCATCCTTCATGCCGGTAGCTGGGAACGAAGTTTGTGATGATGAAGGCTTCTTCTCTTCGCGCTTATCTTTGGACGTGGAGGAGCTGCTGTTTTTGTCCTTTCCGGAAGAAGAGTTTGCTTTCGAGCTACTGGACAACTTGGCGGCACTGCCGCTATTCGCAGAGCTGTCCTTTCCTGAACTCCCGCCACCGGCACCACTGTTCGGTGTTCCTGGAGCTGGGCTGGCCAGAAACCGTTTCCAGTTCTTGATTAGTGTTTTGGCCAACGCAATAACCTCTTCGTCCTTACTGCTCTTGCGCAGCTCGTTAACCGTCATGCCGATGCGAGTCTTTGTCAATATTTCCAAATTTATGCTCAACGTTTGCAGAGCCTTTAGAAGATCCAGTGCTTGTTCTTGGCCCTGCACGCAAATAGAAATAGGTTAAATAATTGATAGTACACTTGCCACGCAATTTCCTGATATGGTTGGGAGATTACCTACCGTGCCATCACTTGACGTTGATATCTTCGACATTTTTTTCTGAATTCTAAAAACTTCTTCCTCCACGCTCATCTTTGCGGCAGTCGGTAAATCTAAACGGTGACAAAGAAGAGTTATTATTTAGTAAAATTCTATTATATATTCGATTGCGCTAGCAACGCATGTTTTTTTTACAATTATTTTCCCTCCAATAATTTGTTTACTAATTTTTATGTATTCTCTGCCGGACAGAATGAATGATGGCTGCCTGCTACAAACGAATATATTTTATTCGTGTTAGTGACGCGCGACCTGCATCGATAGCACTCGTGAGTACAAGTCGATAAATTTTTTCGATGGAGTGGCAACGCTACAATTTTGTACCTAAAATCAGATGGCCGCTCTAAGTCAAAAGTTATGTGTACAAATCAGAAATAAGTAGAATTAAATAGTTTTGATTAAATTTAGGTTTCTAGAACCATTAAATAGTGTTTAAAAACTTATGCGAAACTGCGTTTGTCAAATGCTATTTCATTTAGGGGTATAACGTCCTGTTAAGCCTTTTTTTGCGGCGCTTCGTTTGTTTTGGTCGCATTGTAATTTCCTCAATTCAGATTAGCATAAAAATAAAAACAAAAATGTTTGCAAGGCTTGCAACAACTGCAATAGCGACATTGCGAAGTGGAAGTAGCAGCAAATGGCCTGTGCCCACAACAATTGTCAGTCGGCAATATGGTAAATATCAGTGAAGAATTTTCAACTAAAGATTTCATAACAACCGGCACGTTTTTCCATCTCCTATGTATGTATGTATGTGTAGCTGCGCAGCCGAAACGCTTCTACAAAAAGACTTCTGTGCTATATGCTGACGGTGGTTATGAGGTGACGCTGGACCATCGCAAGTTGAAAACACCAAAGGGTGCGATCTTCTCAGTCAAGAGTGAACCGTTGGCTATTGCCGTGGCTACTGAATTTGACAACCAAAGGGAGCACATCGAACGGTCGCGCATGCATCTGTCCGCCATATGCTTTACAGCCATAGATAATCCCAACAATTTTACAAAAATAGATATGGTCAACTATTTGCTAAACTATATTGCCACCGACACGGTGCTTTTTCAATATGACGTAAGTGCTTTGATTGTTTGTGATTATTCTCTTCTGTTTTAACCGGCTTCCTTGCAGAATGAAAAAGATTTGCAGGAGCTGCAACAGAACGAATGGGATCCAGTGATTGCCTGGTTTAACCAACGCTATGAAACAAATCTCAAGAAGACAATGAACATAACGCCGCCAAAAGTTACAGATGAGGATAAAATGAAAATTGCAAAGCATTTTCAGTCGCACAGTCTGGAAACGCTGCATGGTGAGATGGAATGTGAAAGCTTTATCGTCTTTTGTTTTCTAAATCACCTTCTCCCAATCGACTAGGCTTCATATTTGCCGTGGACACACTAAAGTCAATAGTGCTAGCCTGCGCAGTCATTGACCAACAGATAACAGTAGAAAAGGCAGTTGCCTTAGCTCGTCTTGAGGAGGAGTATCAAGTTAAGTTCTGGGGCCGTGTGGAGTGGTCCCACGATTTGAGCCAACAGGAGCTGCAGGCACGCCTGGCTGCTGCAGTACTCTACGTGCACATGAATTGTTCTGAGAGCTTTGTTAAAGAGAAATTGCTGGTGTAAATAAATTTGAAATAGGCGGACCTAATAATTAATAACCAAATATCATCGCTTTTCAACGAGCATTGAAATGAAGTGAACAATTTTTATTATCTGGAAGGGTACTACATATTTTTTGTTTAAAAACGTTTTTGTTTACTGGTTCTAGTAATTTAGGTTTCAATTTATTTCATTTCCAACATATTTGGATTTTATTCAAACAAGACTTTAGAATAGAAATGAGAAAATATTGTTAAAAAGAATTTTTATTGCGACTTTTGATTTAATTTATTAGCTGCTACAGTATTTTGAGTATCTTGTATTTATTTAAGTACATAGTAGTTGTGTGTGTGTGTGTAGATGTGTGTCTTTTCGTATGTGTAAGATAGTGTACTTGTACTGTGAGATCTGCCTGGCCTACACTTATATCAGTGCGTTCTTATAATAAATTAAGGCGAGGTTTGAAAAACATTTCATAATTCATAAATGTATATTGTTGCAGATCTTAGCGTTAGCAGTGATTGCATATAACTCATCGTTTTTGTTTTCATCTCTTTCTCTCAATTTAAATTGGGCCTATCATCGGATTTAAGCAATAAAAGCTTACAGTCGGCAGCGTGCTTGTCCGAGCCAAGCAATTGGGAAGTACAAAAAGAACATATTTTTATTTTATTTTTACTTTCTTCTCTTTTTTTGGTTGTTGCTTTTTCTTCTTGTTTTTTTTTGCTTAATTTTTTGTTTGTTTTGTTTTTGTATAACAATGTGGTAAAAACCAACGCTAAGCTTAAGTACGGCTTCGTAGAAGCTAAAATAATGCTTATTAGCTAAAATGATTTTTGATTAAACTAGGCATAATGTATAATATCTGCATCTGCAAGTATTTTGTTGTTGAAAATTATTATAATTATTGCTCGAAATGCAAATCAAAGAATTTGCTATAATCGTATGTTTAGTATGTATAATTCATTTTAAATTCCCCTATGCTCTCCTCTCTGGTGATATGAACGTAATGTGTGCGTGATATGAATGAATACAATTAATTTACTTAATTATTCTAAATGAATGTAACATTCGTTTCGTACAATTTAATATCTCAGCACCATTTTTTATTAATAGCACATCTTTTCAATTACACTATGCAACAGAACTGTATACACTTTAATAAGCCAACCTATAGAAATGTTCTGAAATGTTGCTGTCCATTAAGGAAGGTGAACACAAATTTTTAAGTAATATATACTTTCAAGTTTAAATTGTGCTTAATATACTAGAAAATAGTACTAGAAAAATAGTTATGTTGGACTAGTTGGTATGATGTAGGATTATGTTTTGGAAGACAATAAAATAAAAGATATGATTTAAATGAATTATCCTTAAATTTCAAATAAAATGGTTTCTGATATGATTTCTAGGTTTTGTAGATTGCATAGAAGGAAGCTTAACAGGTACTTATGCTCGGCATGATGAGACGACGAATCGATATGGATGTCTAAACGAACTAGTTTCTAATTTGTAAAGTTAAAAAAGTGTGCATAGATGCTTCCCGAATGGCACTTTATATGTAGCTGTAATATAGGAACGATCGGTCGAAAAAGCGGTGTCAAGGTACGCTTGCCAACAATATATACTTAGTTTGCAACTAAATCGGCAAGGGATAGATATCCCATAAAGCTGCCATAGGAACGATCTTTCGAAATCAGAAACAATTACACTCTTACCTAATTTCTTCACTCTTCATGCTTTAGATATAGTTAAAACCGAATTCATTAATGAAATCCCCTTAAACTGCTTAGAATATAGCTAACTCTTTATCGGTTTTCGTTCAAAAGTAATGTTAAACATTAAACAAAAGTTTGGTTTCAAATATTAATTGTTTAAATAGCTAACAAGTGCAACCAATTATGAATAAAGATGCCTTCTTATATGATAAATATTTGGCGAACCAAATGTTCGATTTAGCTTCAAGTTTTTGTGTTTTCTGAGCAACTCAAACAGATCCGAAAAAAGTTGTGAGATCTATATACGAGTGTGTTTACAATTCTGTTGCATAGTGTGATTCAACAATAGTTTCATATTGTCAAAGCATATGTGTTGATGGATCTACAAATTTCAAAAATGGAGCAGAGCCTTGTATTTTGGTTTTTCCTATGGATATTGAAAAATTTTCCTATGCGCGCGCGTTCCTTCTCTCCTTTCTCTCTATGTGCTCCAGTTAATGGCTATTTTAGGTAGCATATTATTAGACTTGAGTATCCATAATGCTGCCGTAGGACTCTTCAGCAAATTTGGGCGCAATATAATCCTCGTAGTAGTTTATGAATATCTCCTTGTACTCATCCGGTATGAATTCCAGTGCGTTTAACATTTGCATTAGTTCTCGATCTGTGCACTTGTAGTTGCTTAGTGCCACAATATCCCAGAAGTAGGCGAAATGCTTCACATATTCCAGGGATTGAGAGCCATGCTGGGCGGCAGCGCTGGGCAGTGCACTACGCATAATGGAACCCAATTTATTGAACTCCCAATCGTCTAAGACAGCGGCGCCTTCTGCAAACGAAAGGTTGTTTTGTTTTGTATAAAGAGCAGGAAAGATAGTAATAGAGAGCCAATGCGAGATGGTATTGGACAGATCTATTTAGAGCTAGTTGGTGAGGTGGGGTTGGGTGGGCATTAAAGAATAGATGTGAAATGTGAACAGTTGGCAGGTGAAAGGATTTTTAGAATATTAACACAGTGTGCTAACTCTCTCTCTCTCTCTCTCCACTCTCTCTCCCCTCCCTTTAAATCGCTAAATTGTTGCTTGAAGCGAACCTACCTCGATGCACCATCAGACACTGCTCCAGCAGTTGGCGGGCCATAGCTGCTTTGCATTCGTGAAGTTCCATTAGTTGCGCATCGGCACGTTCTATAGCCCCATAGAGTTTGCAACGCTCCTCAATCAATTCGCAGTCCAGCAGCGAGTTGGTGAAGGTCCAGAACCATTCCAGTTTCTGCGCCTCGTCGCATTGACTGCAAATCAACAGTTCGCCCCCATTTTGCTCCGGCTGCGTATAATATTCGGAGAGCCACCATCGCAGATTGCGTGCATGCTGCAGTGTGGTTGGTGTAAAGATTTGCATGCACTGGGGGTTATCACAACGATATCGATGGAATTTTTGCTGCAAGCCGGAGGTAGAGGATGTTGGTTAGGCTATGTCACTATAATGCCTAACATTAAGATCGAGCATGGCTATAAAAATCGCATCCACATCCAGAAACTAACAGCTAGAAACTAAATCCTGACCATCTTCTTTTTAAGCAGATAAATATCGTTCTCAATATATTTTCTCACATCATATCACATTAACAGACTTACTGGACTTTAAAATCATCTTTTAACCTAAATGCTTAGAACTGAAAATAGGGGATTTCTCTAACTGTAGGATGATAAATAATGAAAAAGATTGTCTTTTGTTTGAAGAAATCAAAAATGTATTACACAAAAACTATAAAATGAGGTTTTCTTTCTTTAGTTTTTGGATATCTGAAGGGGAAGAGGGATATATAACACAAAAACGGATTAAATAAGATGTGAATCTATTCTAACGAATGATCCATGTTGTAGATATAACCACTCCTATCGATTGCAAGATGAAAATAGGGGATTTCTCTAACTGTAGGATGATAAATAATGAAAAAGATTGTCTTTTGTTTGAAGAAATCAAAAATGTATTACACAAATAAAACTATAAAATGAGGTTTTCTTTCTTTAGTTTTTGGATATCTGAAGGGGAAGAGGGATATATAACACAAAAACGAATTAAATAAGATGTGAATCTATTCTAACGAATGATCCATGTTGTAGATATAACCACTCCTATCTAAACTCTATTATGCTAGAACATTTTTTGAGCTATAATGTACAGAACCTTCTTTGTAATATCCTAACATTTATAGTTTTTCTTCTGCATTCCTTGTGATCTTTTTATAGCAATGTTCGATTGTATATTTTATATGAACTACTTACAAAATCTTCGTCGGGATTGCTGCGCAAACACTTCTCGCATTGGCAGTTGATGCCACGACATTGCAGCTCCTCTAGCCGTTCCTCACGTGTCGTTTGCTGATAGTTGCCACTGGAGCAAAAGCAATTGTAAATAGTGGCACCAGCCTGTATATCCGACAGAGCCAAAGCGGTGAGTGTACGCCCGGAGAATTTTTTGGAAATGCTGTCGGCACAGGACTGTTGACAGAGACTCAGTGTGCAGGGATAGACGGTGTAGGCCACAACAGCGACATCGCCGGCTATCAAATGCAAATGACCCGACTTGACGTGCATGGGCGCTGACCAGAGCTGGAACTCGTTGAGCGGTGAAAAGATGTGCGGATCGGCAGGCAGAACAAAGGACTGGCAGTGTACGAGATGTTTGTGACGCAGCTGGCAAATGTGACGCAGCAGGAGGGCCGCCGTCAGCAATTCCCATTCGCATTTGGACAGCTTCGTAGATGTGGACATGTTGCGTTCCAGCTGATCAAAAAATGTGGTGCATTTGCTCAGGTATATGGCAAGCACATGGGCCACAACCGCTAAAGCGGCAAGTGTTTCCACATCCTGTGCATCCGTGTGTGTCTCCAGGCGCAGCAGCGAGCAGTAGGCAATGTCCGTCCGTTCGGTTAGGACGCCATTGAAGGCGGCCCAGAGCTTATTGAGCGTGGGTTTCTTGCGAAAATGCCCGACGACTTGAGGCATGCCCGTAATGAGCATGCGAAAAGCCAATTGTATGAGCCGTGGCATGGCAAACACATCGCCCAATGCCTCAAAGAGCTCTATCTGATGGGCGAAGCATTCCAGAGCATGGATGGGCGCATGCTTGAAGCGGCACTGGCGCGAACAATAGACGGCCGTCCGATTGGAGCAGTAAATGCAGGGGAACTCAACAAACTTGGTCACGCCGCAATTGTCGCAGAGCCGACTATTGCCGCTGGGCACCATCACAAGCGCTTCCTCCTCGAAAACTGTTGAATTCTTAGCCACGGGTCTGATGGTGCGCATGCTGGATGTCTTGCCATACCAGGCGCTGAAATATGTTAAAATCATTCGATTAGAAGATAAAGAATTTGGCTTTTAACTCTTCTAAACAGATACGTATTTATATAAAGATTTAAGGCTTTCATTATTATTCGCTTATGATGGAAAGTAGTTGCATTAAATCCCATTTCCATTATTTTTTGTTCTTGTTAAAAATCAATATAAAACACTTGTGTGTTGAGCTTTTTCCCAAAAGGCTATATTTGTTGTTATGTATACCTTTAATTGAGATTAATATTTAATCGGTGGTATCGAAGGATTGATGTGTGTACTACCAACAAAAAACAGGCGGTCGCTTTGGAAGCAAAAGCCTGCATTTTAAAGATTCCCTTAATTATTCATGTATTATCATGTACCTTGTGTGCATGTAACACGCAGAAGAAGGCATGCCAGACTTTATCAGCCAGCAAAGGTATTTTTTCGCGTCTTCGGATACGAAGTGCAATTAAATTCTGTCAATTTTGTTCGCGTCAGATGTTTATGCGTCAGATGTTGACAATTTATCAATACCGGTAATGAAAATGGTAAATGGCGAATTAATTCTCTAAAAATAAAATGAATAAACACTGTCTAGCGATTTTTTCTGATTCTATTGGCTTTACTTTAAAATTAAACTTAAATAGACTTTCTTCCAAGAATTTTTAAAATGTGTTGATTACATAAAAAAAACGATAATCAATTAATAAGTTTCCTCCACCGTTAATAAACATTTCTTTCACTCACATTTCATAGCACTTGGACTCATGTGTTTCCAGATCGTCACCTGTTTGCACGGCCATCTCGAAGCGTTCCGACTTGAGGACCTCGCACTGATGCCACAGCTCGTGTGTGCGCGTCTCGAACACCTCGTTCAGTTCCATATGCAGGAGCTCATGCAAATGCTCCTCGCAGAGCGTAAAATTGCGCATTTTTAAGGCACATGAGGCTTGGCGCAGCTTAACTAATGGCAAATACTCTTCTGGATAGCCTAGATCCAATGCGCACAGACAGTCGTCGTAGGATTGCTATACAATATACAGATATCTAATTATAGTCGACAGCTGTGTGATAGTTTTAAGATGTTTGCTACTCTACCGCATACATGCCGCAGTCATGGAGCACTGTAGAGCGATTGGCATGGGCGATGGCTGCTGCCAAACTGTTTTTGGCCGGAGCCAAGAACATTGCCTCGGTGAAAAAATCGCATGCTTTGAGAGCGTGCCGCTCCTTTCGGTATGAATCATTGCCCGCCTCACGTATCCGTCGCGATTCCTCATCCGATTTGAAGCTGGCAGTTTGCTTGCGTAGTTGCTGAAACCATTTCATTACGTGAGTCCTGTGTGAAAAAAAATAAACAACACAACAAAACAACGTATAATTAGTGAAGGGCTCGGGGCATTGCAATACTGAACAAACCAACACCGATACAATTTAATTATTCACAGCAAAAATGTCAAAACGCAACTGACCCAAATTTTTAGTAACTGGACACAGAACGAAACACAATGCTACTTAACCCTTAAGTACACACAAACACACACACGCACACATACAAACATACACAAACGTACACAAATGTGGTAACGGAAAATTGCACACATGCATGCAAAGAGTAACTATGTAATACACCTGAAATCCAGCTGTGGCTCCTTGGTCGCGCTCGTGGGTGACATGCTCAGCCCGCCCACAGCCCCAATGAGGTCGTCGGCGCTTTCAGCCTTTGACAATGGCGCTTTGCCATCCTCGCCATCGACAATGGCAGCATGTTCCGTCTCCACTTGTATATTTGTCATCGATTGTTTTGTGCGCCTTTGCGGCGGCGCCTCCAACAGCAGCAACAACTGCAGCTCATCATTGTACACCAGTTCACTGAGATTGAGTCTTTCCAATTGTAAACTGATTAAGTCACCCAGCGAGAGCGAGTGCGAGGCAGCGGGCGCAGCAGCGACTACAGCAAACTTTTTGTTGTTATTCACATGCGCGGAGGTTGAAGAGGAAGAAGATGCCATCACTTGCTGCTGAGCTCAGAGTTTAGAGTTGTGGGTTTTATTCCAATCTTTGACGCCACACTTAATCTGCCATATTGTCAAATTGTACATGGAAATGTGGCGAATTCGTTTTTGTATACGCGCGCGCCAACATCTTACACATGCATGCTTTTGGTATTTTATTTTAGCTCGAACATTGATTTCTGTACGTTAGGTTTCCATATTGATTTTTAACTGTGGCAAAGCTGCCAGCTTGTTTTGCAGATTTTGGCGCAGCTGCCACTGGGGCGGCAGCAATGGCCACACCAACGGACAACGGTATCGATAGTAGAACTGCAGCCCTCGCTAGTAGAGCTTTACCGATATGTTAACGTTTTGTTATGTTTTACAATTTATCGGACAACGAGCGTATAAACAATTCTGATGGGCAAGAGCCGGCTTTTTTCAAAGGCCTATAAATATATATAAATTATAAAGAGCTATAAGTAGAATAATTTTCTTTTTTTCCATTTCAATCCAATAATAAACAGAAAGTAAAAATTGTTTTAATGAAGTATGTACATATTTATGTATAAACTTAAATAAGCACAAATACATAAAGTATTTGTGAACATTACGTTAAATAAGCGCAAATGCACATTTGAAAATCTTTTTTAAATTAAGTTTCTAAGCATTTTTAAAATATACACACCTTTTTAATTAATAGTATTATAATTTTTGGGCCATAACGCGACAGTTTTACAGTTATTATAAGAGACTAAAAGTTGCAGAATATATTTTATTTGCAAACTTCAATCATGCCGTGATGGGATTCCTGCTAGTAACTACATTTTAAAGTACAGTAAGTATATTTTAAAAGTAGCATAAAGGTTTTATAGCTGCTAGTTACAGTTTATCGATAGTTTTTGATGCATTCAGTTTGAAATAATCGCCTGCAGTTGCTATTGTGAATTGCCCGCCAATTTCTAAACCTAATTCAAGTGTCTGGTAAGTTTAGAAAACGACGGCTGCTACACTTGTTGTCAATGATGTGAACGCCCCATAACTGTTATCAATTATGTGACCTGTTATCAGCTTGCCAGTAAATCTCTGGCCGTTTAAACAGTAAACACTGGGGTGGTATACCGTCGCTTTAGCGCACGTTACCATTGAACAATATAAAAAGCAGACTGTGTGCCACGAACGTCACTTCTACTTCTTTGCACGCTCTATGCGTAAGGGCGATAAGGAAGTGTTGAAGAAGCGACATCAATTGCCCCTTTTTTGTACATATAGTACATCATCAATTGCCTGACGGGTTTTGCATTCTTTCTTTTCTCCCTCCCCTTACTCAATATTTACTTGTTTGTACACTTGAAAATAAATATTATAGAATTATAGAAAATTACACTAAAGCTAAGAGTGCTTTTCTTTCATTTAGAAACATTCTCATTACGATTATTCTTAATGTATTTGTAATTTGTATTTAGGGGAAAATCTTTTATTGGACTGAGAAACAGAATATTGAAATATATTTGCATTTCGATCTAAAATCAAGAAAAAATAAAATAAAGTAAGAGTGTTTTTCTTTAATTTAGAAACAGAAATACATTCTTACTTCGGTTTAGGATGATTGTTTCTGATGGATTTGATTTGTATTTAGGGAAACATTTTCTATTGGACAGAATTTTGAAAAATATTTTCATTTCGATCTAAAATCAATAAAAAAGATACATCTTTTTCAAATTAGCAGATTTGTAAGTGCGCTGGGGACTGTACTGAACTAAAAGCACATCAATATAAATAATTATAGTGAGAATATTATGGGTTTCAATAAAGTAATTTATCTCATCGTTGAAAAACTACTAGAAATATTAGAAACACATAAGAGAGGTACAAAAATATATTCAATTTTCTGATAAGAAAATCATTTTCAAATTTCTTAGACAACATTTATCCAAGAAGGGTAAAGAAGGGTAGTTGGCCGTATTATTTAAATTCAAAAGCGTTTAAGGACACTTCTTTTTTCTGAGTGTGGGTGTGTGCTTTAAATAAACAAACTGCATGCATGTATGCACACGAATCTCGCACACGGCCTGCACCTCGGCTCCACTAAGATTTAGTAAGAGGTAGTAGTAGGCTGTAAGTTTTTATCAGTTGTTTTATCTGTTGTTTGCCTTGATCTTATCTCTTCGCCTTATCCCTTGTGCTCTACAGCCTCCTCCTCCTCCTCCTCAGCCTCCTAAGCATGATGTTTGCTTGATAGTACAAGTAGGTGGGTATAAGAAGTATAAGAAATAGAGACAGTTGCCAGTTCGCACTTCTGTTGTAACGTTTAAAGTTCGGTCCTTCGTGTCGTTCGTGTATTAAGTCGGTGTATGTACTATTAAGGTTTATAAAAAAAATAATGCTGCGAAACGAAGAATCGCCAATTGTCACGTAAGTGAGCGCAGAAAAATAAAAATAAAACTTGGGCGCATTTGCTTAACTAAATGACAACTTTTGGCTAAATCTGTGCAAATTCTTAAGAGTTTGGCAAAAACGTGAAATACGAGAAAAAAGAGATGCGTCAGGGAAATTAACATAAATAGCGGGCGCTAAATAGGCGTAAAAGCGTTCGTGGGAGCCCTGACAACTGGCTCTCTACAAATATAGCTAAGTACCTACAAACATACATACATACATACATACATATGTATGTACGTACCACTATCTGTTGGTGGTCGTCGTTTGTAGTTGTGCGAAGAAGGCCTCGAAAGTTGGCCATGAAGCGGCAGAAGCTGAGTTTAAAGCGCACATTTCTTCCTTCCTACTTAGCGAGAATTCGTTTTCTGTTTTTTTTTTTTTGTTTTTTAAACTCTTACTCTATTTTTACATTTTTTTTTTTTTGTTTTGGTGCAATTGCGTTGCAAACTTGCAGAGCAAGTAGTTTAGCGCCATTTGCACTTTTCGTAGTAAAAATTACGCGTACCCCCCCACAGACACAGACACACACACACACAAGCATTCACACTCCACATAGAGAGAAAACTTATCAACGGGCACATCACACACACGTGCAACAACCCTGTCGTCATGTAGTTGCCAAAAGGGTGGTTCGGGGAAGTTGTGTGGGGGGGGGGAGGTATGCGTGGGCGTTCCTAGACGTTAAGTAGTCGCGTCGTAGTTTGCGTTAAGTAACAAAACTTCAAATTGAATTTTTCGCTGCACTTTTCATTGTAGCACCTATGTAGTATCAGACCCCCCCCCCCCCCCCCCCCCTTTAGCAGGACCACACTTTTGCGATGCCCTTTCGATGTTTATACGTATAGTTCTACATAAAGCTCATTAAGTCCTCGGCACAGTGTGATATATCGGACAGAAAGAAACCGTAAATAGTTTGATATCTAAAATTATTTCAAGTATTTTTTGGAAAAGAGAAGGTATTTGGAGTCTGAACAGAAAAGGGGTAAACAATTTAGCTGCTCAGTGTCCTCTGAGAAGTATGTTAAAGCATTCCAATTAACAATTAAAACATAAATACCTCATTCGGACAGAAAGCAACTATAAACAATTTAGGAACCATAACATGTTCATATATTAAATCATTTCAATAAACAATTACAATTGTTTTTACACTTAAAATATAATATTCTTTAAATCAGGGAACAGTCCTAAACACTCTGATATTTAAAACCGGCATTTGAAGTATTATCACAAAAAGAGCTGAAGAAATGTGCACAATTAATAAATGCATTTAGATATTTATATATTCAAGCAATTACAATCAACAATCACAATTGTTTTTCACTTAACATATAGAACTTCTTAACTTATTTATGAAGAAGTTGTGAACGATTTTGCGAAACATTCTTAGTATTATTTTATCTTGAAATTTGTTCGCAAAACAGTAGAAGCAACGTGTTGATGTCATGGGCTTTTCAATTCTTCTAACAACAATTCGACAATGATGAAATCTTCAACTCCAAATTTTATTATTTATTTAATACAATTATTTCAGACATTATTAGAGAATCATATGAAACTATGTTCACAATTAATAAACCTATTTAAATGTTCATAATTTAAAGAATTCCAATTAACAATTATAATTTTTTTTATAGTTGAAATATAGTTTTTGAAATGTAGTATTCATGAATAACTTTCGACAAAGCAGAAGTATTTATTTATTAATGAATTAAAATATATTAAAATTACAGTGAAGCTAAGGTAATCTTTCCTATACCTAAAGATCATATGCTTTTTTAAAATGAATTCAAAGGATGCATTAATGGAGATGAAGTGGAATTGTATTATAAATATAATTTACCATTTTTAGAAAATTTCCATTTATTTTAAAATTGTCTTCAGGCGGACTAAAAAGAAGGTAGCAGGATCGAAGGCTGGAAAAAATTATTAGTTCTTAATATTTAAATAAACCTTAGCAAAAAGGCAATGCAAGATTTTACGTTTGAATAAAATAGTTATAAACATCTTATCTCGGGTTTTGAATTCTTCTCCATATTAATAAATAATACAGAAGGAAGAATCTGTATTTATAATTAACAATCAGAGATTAGGTCCTGTTCTGCATTACCATAATCCTATTTCTCAGGATCCGCCTGCATAAGTTCAAATTGTTGTTTGTAATTATTTAAAATGTTTTGGCCTTCACAAAAAGTTTGTTTGTTTTTTCTATTTTATTTTTAAGCTCGTTTTTATTTCACATTCTCCACATCTTTTTTCTCCACTGTTGCTTATAGTGCGAAAGTTCTGTTTATAGTTAAGGGGGCGGCAGGGGAGGGGGCTATGATTAACCTTTTCATTTGGCTCGGTGAATTGCCGCAGTTGGCGGCGTATTTTTAATTGCCTGACAAAGTTGCACTTTAAGTTGAACATACGTACATATATGCACTTATGGGGCTTAATGTCTGCCCTCCATTCTGACCATTATAGTTTGCTTTTGCAGGCCCAATAGCCGACTGGGGGGGCGTGGGAATTACAATTATGGCACTAATTTGCATTCCGTGGAGAGAGGAAACGGCAACAATAATATCACACCAGCAACACCTTCGCAGATATTTTGTTTGCATGGCCGCTCCAAGAATTTTGAGGGTAAGTTCAACAATTTCCGTAACTATGTGCTGTACGAGTAGTAGTATAATTTTACAGTTCTTTCGATAGAAATGTATGTTTTCGATTACATTTAAGTTCCTACAACAATTGCTGCTTTTTCCGAAACAATTTTTAAACATTTTCGATCTTTAAAAAAAAACTAAGCTGCTTAAAAGCGAACAAAAATAACCCATAATTGAAAGATAAGTTTTTTTTTTAATATGTGAATAATCTGGTCAACAAAATAATGTTTTTATAAAATTTGCTGCTTTTAGCGAAATTATTTTTAATATTTTTGGATCTTTAAAAAAAACTAGGTTGCTTAAAAAGAAACAAAAAAAAAAACCATCTAATTAAAAGGTAACGTTTTTTTTTTTTAAAATATGAATAATCTGCTCAACAAAATAATGTTTTTATAAAATTGGCTTAAAAAGGAATAAAAAAAAAAACATATATTTAAAAAGCCAAACTTTTTTTAAATGTGTAAAAAAAGAAATAATATTTTTATAAAATTTGTTAAAACTCAAAATGTCTTTTATTTAATTTAATATATTTAATAGAAACGTCATATTTGGGGAATAAGAAATAAGGTTATTTAAAATAGCTAAAAAATTATTATTATGTGCAGTTTGTTGATTATAAAGATATTGGAACTCGATATTAGATATAGAGAATATTGAAAATATTATCAGATTTGTGCCGCGAAAAAGATGCAAATACTTTGAGTTGCTTAGCAGGTTTAATAGTTCTCGAACTAATATCCCGAAGATTACTTTTTAGTTCTCAATCTTTTGTTAAATTATTCAGTTTCCATATCTTGTAAGGTGATATGTTTCTGCCTCTCCCGTCTAATTGCATATAGTTGTATAAGTAAATAAGTACTATATATAAGTATACGTCGGATCTTTAATGGGTTTAAGTAACTACCTCTGTAGACATGATGGCGTGCGCTGTTTGCGGTTGGAAAAACAAACAAATCACACGTCAGGGTTTCGTGACGACGAGTCGACCTGCAAGTCGGTTTGCAAATCGATCAACACCCCTGCAATTTGCAGTCATTCAGAAATTATTTAACTTGGCAGCATTTGATTCTTAGTTCAATGCTTTAAGCAACAAAAATATCTACAAAAATTCATTTTCACAGCACATTAATGTGCTTGTGGAGGTGCATGTCGTTCCATTGATTGTGCAGTTTACTACAAAAACAAAAAAGAAAAAAACAACAACAACAACCACCTCAAAGAAACAAGAAAAAAAATATAATAATAAACGTGAACGAATTCGAAAATTTGCGCAATTTTGTATTATTATCGTAATGCGCGCTAATTGACAGACGACACGGAAATGAACGACGCCGTCGTATATAGACAGACGACAACATTGACAACCACATCAACCACATGTTTGGAGAAGCGGCGACATTGGCCCAATGGCTATGGTGAGCAGCTCTTCACATTAAATATATACACATTTTACAATAATACATATATATATATATATACATACATATATAGTATAAGTGTCAACACTTTATCGAGAGAGTGTTGGGACTACAGCTGTTCTTTTGAAGAAGATTCCAAGAAAGGGTTGCTACAGGGTTTTCAAAAGTAATTTTTTTTCTGAACAAAATATTGAAAAGTTTTTTCAAAAAGCAGAGTTTGTGTCTTTTATATGATATTTAAATTACTGCATTTATTATAATAATTTATTCATGTACTACAAGTATACTGGCTACTACGACTAAAGCTTTTCTGTTTTTTTGTAGAAGTAAAGCAAAAGAAGGGTTTAAAGAGAAATATTTTTGCAAAGATAATATTTTGATTTCTGAAAATGAAGAAATAGTCAGTTTTTTTATAATATATTATTATATTATTATTAATCCACATACTACACTGGTTACTAAGGCTAAAGCTTTGAAAAAGATTACATGAAAAGCAAATGGATGGTTATAGGGTTTTCAAGAGCCATTTTTTTCTTACGAAAATATTGAAAAGCCTCTTCAAAAAGAAGAATTCGTCGCTTTTTTATGATCATTTAATTCCTGCATTAATCATATTCATATACTATATACTACATATACTGGCTACTAAAGTTTTTCTTTTGAAGAAAGAAAAGCAAAAGGAGGGCCATTTTTTTTGAACAAAATATTAAAGCAATTGCTGAAAAAGAAGAATTAGTCAATTTTGATTAATAGAATCGAATTCTAAAAAAAAGACTTAGTCACTTTTTTATAATATATAATGCACTTAATTATAGTAATTATTGTTATTACTGTCGCTTTTCTTTTGAAGAAGATCCAAGAAAACGAAAAGTAGGGTTTTTCTGAGCCATTTTTTTTTTGTAAAGGAAATATTTGAACTTCTGAAAAAGAAGAATTACAATTTATGAATTAATTATAATATATGAATTAATTAATGCATTTCATTATTATAATTAATCCATGTATTATACTGATTAGGTATTCAGAGCTCGCTTTTGGCTTAAATGTGAAGACAACTCTTCAGTGGCTAACATTTTGAGGCGCTCGGAGCAAAACTCAGTTAGTTGCCTTAAAGATTCAGCTAGTTCTGGCTAAAATGGACAGACAACTGTGTCGTATGTCTATAGCTAGTACACACACACACACTCACATATATGTAGACACATACATACATATGTACATATTCTATAGCTGTGAAGCTGCGGCTTCTTGGTTGGATGGCTTTGTCATCAATCAGCTCCTGATTTGCTGCTTGCCAAACGATTTGTGGCGACGACAATATACGGTGGCGTTTTGAAGGGGGGGGGGGGGGGGGGGGAGTGGTGGTGGTGGTGGCACTGTTGACTTCAACAGCTGTGGCAGTAATCAAAATTTATGTCAAACCGCCAACGCTAGCCATAAATTGTTGTCCGATGTTGGTAGCTCGCAATTTACGTGCGACGATGAGAAGAATTTCGGAAGGCGCCAGAGAGTGATATACGTAAGTAAATGGACAGTTAGTTCATTTTTTCTCCTCTCAAGTGAAGTACAGTGAGGTTTGCTTAAGATGAACATTCAATATTGGACCCCCAAGTTGGTAGATTTGTTGAGTTTTGGTTTCGAGAAATGTTCTCTCTAATATTTAGTTTTTTTTAGATAATTTTAAAAAGTTTTTCTACCAAATTTTGTTGCAATCTAATTTATGTAGTATTTTAAAATTGAATTAGTTATCTTTGTATATATATCTTGTATATATCTTGGTTGATATTAGATAAACAAACTGATAAATATTTTAGAAAACTAGACTTGCTCGTAAAGCATGCCTGCATAGCTTACCATTTAAATATTTAAAATATTTCCTTCGAGCTCTTCTCACAGTTCAATCTAAATAATAGTTTAAAAATTTGTACAATTTGATTAACATTTTGTCACATCTTGTCAATCTTGACTGTACTTATTTACTATATATTCTGCTAAGCCAGATCGATGTGAGCCACACATCAAGTTCACATTCTAATTTCCTTTGGAAAACTCCGAACATAATTTCTTACATAGACATCAAGTTCATCAATACATACATAGTAGTATGTGTAGGTATACTTGTATATATAAAAAAAACGTTTATATAGCAAGTGGCAAGATGGTTGCGACATTTCGTTGCTTCGCTGATTCGATTTATTGGCAGACGAACGACCTTAAATGACATTACATCATGTCTAGACGGCCAAGTAGCGAGCAGCCTACACCTTAAAAAAAGTATGTTTAAAAAAGAAATTCTAATTCACGGAAAATGCATTTGGAAACTATTGGATATTGCTCAGAGGAAATATATTTTTAACGTCTTTTGTGCACAGAGAGTGAAACGGAGGGGTGGCAAATCTTGCTTGACTAGACGTGTCGCTTGTTTGTCTGTATGAACGCCTAGAACTTTTGAACCACATAAGCTAGGGACACCAAACTGGTTAAGTAGATCTGTGTTATCAATATGTATAGCAAGTTTAATGCAAAACAATTTATATCCTCATTATTTTGCATAGCTAAAAAAAAGTCGAACAACAAAATTTAATGTAGTTCCATTGATCGGGAAATTAAAAGGTTCAGCTTCGTGTAAGAATTACAGTTTTAAAATTCTGTTTCAAATGCATTTAAATTCTTGTATTTTAAATCCCAATAGAAAAATTATTTATTTATTTTTTTTGGGAGATTGATCTCAGTGGAAAAAAAGCCAAGCTGTTGATAGGTGAGAAAACTGGTTTCTCAGTTTCTCAGCAAATAAAACTAAATCAAATTAAAAAGTGCATATTAAAAGAACCATTTATAAAAATCAAATGAAAAATGCTTAAATAAAAATAACACTCAAGCAAAACAAACTCAAAGAAAATAAGCAAACAAATTCTCTTTATTCTCCAACAATTTAAATTTATAATAAACAATTATAAGTTTAATCAATTTTTCAAAATGGCATAAAAGTCAAGATTAATTTCTAGAAAAACCTGCCGCAATCTAAAAAAAATCATAATAATATAATAAACTTATAATTTAATTAAAAAACCCCAGCACAGAATTAAAACAAAACAGAGTTAAGTTTTCTTAACGAAGTATTAATGCGTTAAAATTAATTTTTCCAAGTGTGTAGTAGAAAAATGTATACTTATATATCTTTTGGTTGAAGTGTGTGCTTTAAGAACATATTTACTTCTTCCAAGTAGTGCCAGGAGTGAGGACTCAAGGTTGCAGCCTTGCATTTGTTGCAACATTCGCTTAAATTTCGTGCTCGTATGATGATTAGACCAGGTTGTTTACTCGCTCCAGTCGGCCAGCTTTCAATGCTCTTACATGCATCTACTTAGTTATACGAGAAAGCTAAGCTTAAGTAGTCTTCGAGTTGTTGTTTATCGCGAAGTGTTGAAAGCTTTGCCCGCTGGTCCGGCCATGAGCTGCCATCACATTAGTTTAGTGATAAACGCGACTGCGGCATCAGTGCCGAGGGAAATTATACACATGTGTGATGTGTTTTTTTACCTTCACGTATTATTGAAAAATTGTGCAAAAGAAATGATCAAAATATATTGTTATGATGTGCCACAAAGAGCGAAAGCAATATAATGAAGGCAAGATGTTAAAGCAAAAGAAGCCCAATATTGTGATACGATTTGATTTGACTTAAGCATTGACACTTAAAGCAATTATAAATTGCGAGATACTATAAAGCCATAAAGCCTTAATCTGCTCTACATAGTATGCATTAATCGTAGCAAGATTTGCATACCAAATATTGTGAAGCTATCTCGTATAGTTCTCGAGTTGCTTGCGATCATACAGACGGACATACGCACTTATAAATGACTTTTCATTACGAATAGTTCTCAAGTTTTCTTTCTTTATTTATTGCTTAGATGCTCCTATATGATGCTTAATCAACATACGAACAGTAAGAAAATATAAATAAATATATTTATATATACCAGTGACTATTAATTGGTTTTAAAACAAAACAAATAATTTCTGTTTAATACAAATTCGACGAATGCCTCCTTAGTTAGTTGTACAGCGAAGTCAGCCAATTGAAGAATTATTAATATATTACTCTCCAAACAAAAAAATCGAACTTGCTAATATTTGTAAATATGCTGTTATCGTTTATTTCTTTATTATTTCATAGTGGGACAAGAAAAATTCGTCTAAATAAAAGCAGTAGTGAAAATGTTTAAAGTGATTTGAATAATCTACTTAACTTTATTATTTATTTTTTATTTATATAAAATGTTTATTTTCGAACATTATATATTGTTAAATGCTTATATTTTTAAGCCAAATATAATGTTTTCCTAATTATTATCTTTAAATATTGTGCCAATTGATTCCACAGGTGAATAGCACGAATAAAGAGTTGCCGTTCAGAATGTTTATTTCTTTAATAACATAATTTTAATAATTTACAAAAGAAGGTTATTTGTTTCGAAATCGCAAGCAAAATAGACCAACAACATTTATTGCTTTTAAGCCTCTTACGCTTCCAATTTAAATACACTATAACTTAAAAGAAAGAAAATTTGACATAACTAATTGTAAATTAAAAACATTTCTCCTTCTTTAAAGCAATAGTGAAATTTTGAGCTATAGACTTGTCAGGTTCTTATATTTGATGGTTTTTGGTATTTTTCCTTTATCTAGCAAGTTTTCTTAACTTGCCGGACTCGATAAAAAAATTGATTTTTTCCACTTTGCATTTATTTGTAGTTTTATTTAATTAATGTGCTATTAAATAATTTCTCTTATAAGATTTCGTTTCAAATAGCCGTACTATGCAGGTGTTTGTTTTATGTAATCGATATTTCATCAGTTTAGTCGCTAAAGTTGTCAATTCATTTTATCCATATGCCATAAATTTTGCATAAAATGCAGTGGCAGCGCGATTTATTTCGATTCAATTATATGCCGCCATTAATTATTTATAAGTAATTTACATTGTTTGCTTTGTTCGTTCGCTTGCACTCTGCATCGAGAATAAGAGCCGTACACCACGTGTAAGTGGTGTCGGGGACTCGGAATAATCAGAAGCATATGAATGCCAACCGAAGCAACCAAGACTCGCACAAAATTTCCGGGGCCAAAAACAACAACAACAACAACAAACACCCGACGGCGACGGCGACGACTATGACGACCGACTACCAATTAAAGATGCAGATGGATCGGAGTTGTTTAAATTGCAAGTATGATGATTTTTATGCATCAGCTGCTGCACAACTGCTTTGTAGTGGATGAAGAGAAGCTCGGTCTCTGGGTGGTTCGGTGGCTGGGCGGCTGGGTGGTTGGGATGCTGGGAAGGAAGTAGAGCGGCAACTGCGCGGCCTAATAGGTGCAAGAGACGTGAAACACGTGCAGGCATCGCCCAAAAAAGGCCTCCACTTCCATCTACCAGTATACTCGTAGTACATGGTACGAACGAGTCTTGGTTATGCACAGGAATTTAATTTCGCTGCCGGCATTGTTACTGCCATTATAGGCAAGTGTGTCTACACTACAGATCAAAAGTAGATTGCCACTACAACTGTTTTTTAATTACCAGATATTTTCATTTTTAACTCTTTCAATTGACATCTTAAGAAGCCAACCAGAAGACTAAAAAGAAATCAATCAACATCATCGCATAACACTAGGCTTGCAATATTTTTTAAAATTAAGCAGAGCAAAGCAAATTTTATTTAGTTTCTATAGAATTTGTAATTTTTGTTATTACAAGATAATTTCATTTTCAATTCTTTTCATTGAAATCTTTTAACAACTCTCATAACTTATTATAACTTATGAATACTAAAAATAAGTCAAACATCGTATCGTCAAAAAAGTAATACACAAAATAATATGCTCATAAATAAAATTCCGTTTAAAAAATGAAAGCATATCCCCCTTTTCTATATTCAACATAAAACTCTGAAACCAATTCAGATTCTCCTTCCGCAAAATCTAAAGAAAAGAAAAAAAGAGTTGAAGAAATTATTAATCATACTAAAGCTATAGAAAATAAAAAATTTAAAAATCAAATAAACCGGTTAGTAAACAAAATTGATTAAATTATAGCTCCCAAGAAAAGAAAATCAAAAATAATCAAATTAAAGCCAATTTAACTTCATAAGAAGTAGTTTGAACAATACTTCAATATTTTTGAGAATTAAGCAGAGCAAAGGCAATATTTAGTTTCGATATCATTTGTAACTTAGTAACTTGGCATTTTTTAGTTGTTTATGACAATAACTATATTTTTTTTGGATTCACATTCTAATGTGGGAACGCCTTATTTGTAATTGAGGAAGCATAATAAAGATAACGAGATAAGATTATTCTTAATTCATTCTTCTCCACACCATATATTGTTTAACTGTACGCGTAGAGTTTGTCGAGCAAGATGTCAAGTTTATTTTAAATCCGCTGGCCATAGATTATTAGATATGTTTTCGTTTTTTGAAGAAGACCATTCAGTTGCTGTAAAGAGGAAGAAATTGTTTATTGCTTTTATCGCCATGTCTTATCAATAAAATTACAAGTAAAAACAAATTGGTTATCATAGTTTTTAACGCACTATATTTTCATATACTTCATATTGTTATACTTCATATTGTTTGAAGCTACTTGTATAAAAAACGTTAGTAGATAACAAAAAGTGGTCATAATCTATGTAAAATGTTTATTACTTTTTCAAACTTTGCATTGAATCTATATCGTTTGTATTGTATTGAATGTTTTCATTATTTATTTATTATTTTATTTATTAAAACGCATTTTTGAATAACCTATGGAACATCATAAGTATACCAAATGTTTTCTGTGGAGCTTTTTACAGTTAAACTAGCGGAAAACTAAACTTTTTCTAGTATATCCTTATCCGCAAAAGTGAGACCATAAGAAGAAATTACAGGGTTATTAAGAGTAGAACTTTCTTTTCGCAATTAGTATCTTGATCTTCTGCTGATTAGGCTTTGATTTCTAAAATATTTGCACATTTCACTTCTGAAAAACAAAAAAAAAAACCTCGTGAATATAACAGGAAGTGTTCGGCATTGCTTCGAAATAAGAGTTATATCAATTGGATATAATTGTTTTTTTAATTTTGGTATTATTGACACTGATTTAAAGGCAATTAATATTGAAAAACTTTCATTTCGAGCAACTGCTTAAAACATACAATTTCAAATGGATTTAGAGGGGCCTGGCATGCCTTTACGAGAACAGATCTTACATACAGATTAAAGGCTTAAATATTTAAATAAAGTGGATTTAGAAATGGATCTTTAAGTAACCATTGGAATTCAGATTTTCACCTGGCGAGGGTACATTTTTGATAGCTCGTAAATGTTGTGTGTTCGTAAAACTTAAATCTAGATATGCCTGAAAGCTTGCACGTCATACTGTCCTGTCCTGCCTTCGTTTACAATCTTTGTACATCCTGAGTTCTTATACATTTTGTTGATTCATATACATATAATGGTTAGTGTGTGTGTGTGTGTGTGTGTGTGTGTGGTATGCGTATGTGTGTGGGCTACGTCCTTGTGCTGAATTCAAATGAAGAAAACCGCGCTACGAATGAGACTGTGGAGTATAGAGTAGAAGCAGGAGTAGAAGGAGTGCAAGGACGAAGGAAGCAGCATATGCACATTTGTGTATGGAGTCCATGCTCCATGTTCTTCCTCCCCGTGTGCATGTGTGTGTGTGTGTGTGTGTGTTGTGTGGGGAACAAAGAAAAGTGCACAACACGAGGAGTAAAAAGAGGAGTAAAGCGGCAACGAAAGAGTGCAAAGAAAATGCAGCGGAAATGACAAAGCATGAAATACGGCTGCGACAAATGCAATAAAGTATTTAATAGACTGTTCCTAGGCGAGCAACCAGACCGAGCGAGCCAGTGCGCTGCAACCTATTCCCTCCTGCTTCTCTTTCTCCTGCCCCTGCTCCTGCCCCTGCTCCTGCTTCTGTTAGTGACACAAAACACACGAACCAACATCGGAGCTCAAGCTGCTCATGTGTGCGAGGGAAATGGCGGTGGAAAAGCGGCATTGGTGGTCATTATTCACGTACCATGTTAAATAAATTTAAATGCCTGTTTTATAAATATGTTGAACTAGTGGGACCGAGACGTAGCGTATGACAGCAACAAAGAACGTGCGAAAAAATGCGGCAAAGGAAAGCAAAGGGAAGAGAAGGAGCAGGTAATGGGAGCAGGGAAGAGTGTCAAGAAAAAATATTGGCTTTATTGTTCTGCCCATGGCGCCGGGTGCAGAATGTGTTGAAGCTACAGAACTCGACCTCTCTATAAGTATATGGGACAAGATTTCAATTGTTTATTGTTTATTGAAACGTAGATATAAAGTATAAGTGCTGAATTGTTTAAAGCAGAGTAGTACTTGTAATTGTTAAGTTCTTAAAAATAATAAGACGATTTGAAAATAAACTTATTTTATCATTGAATATGTTGCTTATTTAGACAACAAATTTTTACTTAAGATCTATACTTATTTTTTATCTTCAGCATCTACTTTCTCTTTCTCTAATTTACATTTGTTATATAATGTCTTCTCTTATTTCTATTTGGACTGTGATTTCTATTGAAAATGTTGCTTATTTAGACAACAAATTTTTATTGAAGGTCTACACTTATTTCCTATCTTCCATAACTTATCTTTCTTTCTCAGCTTTCTCTTGCTGCAGTTCCTTTTAATTTACATTAAATACATAACCCCTTCTCTTATTTGTATGTGGACTGTTATTTCTATTGAAAATGTTGCTTATATTTATTGTTACTTGAGATCTACACTTATTTTCTATCTTCAACAACTTCCCTTTCTTTCTCAACTTTCTCTTGCTGCAGTTCCCTTTCATTTCCATTTGGTATATAATTCCTTCTCTTATTTCTATGTGAACTGTAATTTCTATTGGTTGTTTTTTATTATCTACAATAATTGTTAGATATAAGAACAATATGTTGTTAGTTACTGGAATTATCTTTTTTTATTGCAAAAGTGATTCATTTTCTGATTTCCTTTCCTTCTAAATATAAATAGTAGTTATATGAAGTGTGAAAAAAGAGCTGTTGTTTAAAAAGCGCTGATCTGTTGACAGACGAGCACACTATATAGAATGACAGATACTTGTATCTTTGGAGATAAACAAAATAATTACTAACTAACCATAGATTAGTTAGTTAATACGCTCACATGATAGTGATATAGTGATGGTGATATACATGTATATATATAGTGATAGCTGTCAAGTAGAATTCATTTTCCTCCTCTACTTACTATTTTTTGTTTTAGTTTGTCTCTGGCGACTTATGGCTATAAATCGAGGCATAGCTGGCCAAATGACAAAGGCATTAATGTACATTATTGTACAGTTTTTTCTTAGGCTTTCACTTATCTTTTAAGTTGAAATTACAACGTCATATTATTACATATCTTTATTTTAAATATTATAATATTATAATATAATATAAATCATAGTTATAGTTAATATTTTTACATATCTTTATTGTAATATTTATAATATTATAATGTAATATAAATCATTGTTATTGTAATGTGTAGCGACAGCACAATTTGTTGATTTATTAAATAAAATTTACTTTTATTTTATTATCTCTTTCTCTCTCTCTTTCTCTCTCTCTCTCTCTGTATAGTTCGCGATCATTGTCATCGGGCGCGCACCGAGGGCGTTGATGTGAAGGCTCGACGTAAATTGATCATTGCCAGTGTCCTGTGTCTGGTTTTCATGATAGCTGAGATAGTCGGTGAGTATTTATTTAGCTTATTGTGTGATGAACACAAAAACAGAAAAGAAAAACAGCAATCTCCGACACTGTCATTGCCTTTCATTTTCGCTTCCTTTTTCGCTGTCGTTTTGCTTTGATTTTCCCTCAATTCCCTCGACTAATTTTCCCACCACCTCAGAGAGCATCGGCAAAAAAGGAGCCGGAAAAATAATACAAAATAAAAAAGAAGAAAAATACAAAAAGAGATAAAGGCGTTTCAGTCAAACAAAGCGGTCTGGGCCGTACGGCCCCACAGACGAGACGCTTAAAAAGTTAGCACCGGAAGTGCAACAATATGGCAACCGGAAGGCTTACTGTCTGCCCCGCTGATGCCACCCCCTCCCTCCCCCAGTTCATTCCATCACTTTCGTTTGCTCTCTTCGCAAATTCTACCCCCAGTTCTCTCTGTTGTGTTGCACAATAAACATTTAATTTTCAAGTGGTGGCGGGCAAGCCATGAAGGGCGTCCGTTGCTGTTAATCGCTTTGCAATTACCTACAATGTCCAAAGCTGCTTGCCAATGCCGCTTCCTCTCCTCTCCTTCCTTCCTTCCATCGCACTGTGTCCCAAAGCGTTGGTTATTTTCCTTGCTTTTTCATTTCACTTTTCGTTCTCTTTGCGCATTGTGATGATGCTGTGCTTCAAATTCCAATCGAAATTGCTCGCACAACTCCTCCCTTTTACTGTTTTCTGCCATTGATGACAACCAAGAGCGGTTCTGTCGTCCTCCAACCTCCCTTCCCTTTTCTTTGGCTCTGTAACTTAATTTTTTTTACCATTAAATTTTTGCTACAGGTGGTGTACTATCGAACAGCTTGGCCATTGCAACAGATGCCGCGCATTTGCTCACCGATTTTGCCAGTTTTATGATATCCCTATTCGCCATCTGGATAGCTGGACGACCATCAACACAACGGTAAGCCGAATCACTAAACAATGTTGCACCAGCATTTCTTATTTACAATGAAATAAGAGCAGCAACAAAAAAAGAGAAACATTATTAACAAAGTCCCCGTGAATATTAAGGAAAGAGTGTTGTGAATATATTTATGGCCTTATTACACTAGACTAAAGAAAAAGCCAGTGCAAGCGATAAGAAAAACTTGAAACATAAATCAACGGAAATGGCAAAAACAAAACTGTATTTTCTGTTGGTCTGCTTTGTGTTACGCGACTTTTAGTTTTGCCTTTTGAGTTGGTTTTTTTTTTTTTAGAAAGTATTCTAAACAAATCTATGTGAAACTAAGAAACTTTTAGTTTCGAAACGTTTCTATGTTAAGTACACAAGTACACATCAATATCCGGTGTCCATTGTGGAAATGAAACACAATTGAAGTAAAGCATAGCATACTTTTGGGGTTCACTCTTGCCAGGTTTGAAAACAGCAGTTTTAAACAAAAAGTCGGCTAATTGAAGAATATAATTTATTTAATTAATTTTTATAGCGATTAATTAAAATATATACATATATTGTTATTTTTAAATATGTATAGTATAATGTTTATATATATGTCTATTCAAATGGGGTGGTTATGAAGAAACTTGGATTGCAATTTTTATTATCTATTTTATCTTCAAGAGCAAAAGCTAACACAATTATTGTTTAATAAATGACATTCACACTTATTCTAAAGCAGTTGTATCTTCAAATCACATAAATATTTAAATATAAAATATTATTGAGAGGCTTGACTCTTACTCGTAAATACAACTTTTAGACGAAATTAGATTCCGAGATCGGTAAAATGTACAAACAGAGCGAACATAATGAAAAGTATTTTAGAAATTGATGGTGCTATAAAGATTAAGGTGTTGCAATGTGCGTAATCGTGTTGATTTATAAAAGGACCAAAAAACAATTAATTTAAATTAATTTAAAACACGATAAAAAAAATACAGCCAGCAAAGAACGAAAAATGGGAAAACTTTTAAAATTATGCGAATTGTCAACAGATGCTTTGGTAGATATTATTTTATTGCTTAATTAAAAGTACTCTTAGCTTCAAAGAAACAAGGTTTAATTGAAGCTTTTAATCCAGGAAATAAATAAGTCTTTAAGAAGGCGTAATTACTAGATAGGCGCTAGCATTAGCATTAAAATATATATGCATGTTATATTTATGTTTATAAAATTGTCAGATGGGTTAGTTAAGTACTCCATTGCCATAGAAACTTAATAGCTTAATTTCACTAAATTTGTGCGTTATGTATAAATTTAAGACCCTTGAATTTTCTGTAATTGAGTAATTACAAATATTACAATTATCTCCATTAATCAATGTTCATCATGTACTTAATGGAAAATATTGCTGCCAAGCCAACGTGCTTCCTTAATATATAACACTCGGCTGCATCTGGCCATTGCTCGGCCAGATTGAAAATAATGCAAAAACAATTTACAAATAATTTTTTGGGGTGCGGGCATTATTTCTGCATCCAACTGCGCCGCCAGCGTCTAATTAGGCGAAAAGCCTGTTTCCAAATTTTCACAGCCAATAGTAGGTAGGATATAGTAGTTGCTCCTGCCTAATGTCGGCCATTGCACATTTTTCAATTGGTCTGTGGGCCGTGGTGGGCCCCGACTTTCTACATACTCGTACTACTTATTCGGCTGCGTTGTTGCATCCATCTTGTTCTCGCTGGCAATGCCGGCACGTACGGCTCATTCATGCAAAAATCTCACTCACTCTCGACTTCACCACCGAGACTCTAGCACTGGAGGACTCCGGGACTCTAGGACTGTGGGACTGTAGGACTCGACGACTCTAGTGAGTGCAGCCACAAAGTGAATAATGAAAAACTTTTGCAATTTCAAGCGTGTTGCATGGTAATTTTGTAAATTTTCTGCCGTTGCCTGAGACTTTGAGGCCCGTTGTTGTTGGTGCGCATGTGGCAGTGGCGGCGGTGGCAGTGTCGGTGGTGGCGGCGGCGGCGGCGGCGGCGGCGGTTGCAGCAAAAGCGTTGCATACTTGCAGGCGCGCCGCTCCATGCGGTTCGCAGCGTTCGTTGCCGAGTTGACAAGCCTAATTTATCAAAACAAAACACATTTGCACAATTGCAAAGGCAAACGCAGAACGTAAACGTAAACGCAAACGAAACGAAAACCTAAACAGTCGTTGCTGCAGTTGTTGTCCTTCCCCCCCACCTCGTCGCCCCTTCGTTGTAGCGCCTTCGACCTACCAAAAACCCAGGGAGCCGACAGCCGGTCATTAAGCAAATGGCTGCACTCGGAGCGCGCGTTCCAACTGCAGGAGCTCCTGCCACCAGCACATCCATATAAACATACTCGTATATGCAGAGATGCAGGCGAAAATCACAAATTAAGGGATTCGGTCACTGTGATTGGGCGGGGAGCAAATATGTCGCTGTCTAAATTTTTCAAAGCTGTAGAAAACGACAAATAATAGACAGCATCAGCATTGGAAGTTGAGTGGCTTTAGCTGTGAGTCTTATGAAATCTTTAGAACTATATACTATATATGAGCTAAGGCAGGACAAGTTTTCCTGAGAGTTCCCTTGGTTTTTGAAGATGAAGTTCAATTTCAAGAGATCTATGGAACTATCTAAAGGCGGCTAAAGTTTTCATGAGATTCCCTATTGTATTTAGGAAGATTAAGTTGAGCTCAGAGTTTCTAGATTTCTATTACAAACTTATATAACTTTCCCAAATACCGAGCACTTTTTCTTAATTATCAATAAATATTAATTGAGATGTGCTAACAATTATCCATTAATAATACTATTGCATTAAGACAACTTACCCATATTGTGTTCATTATTAATTATTTATATATGCTGTGATTTGTAAGTGTTGGAACCTATGGCTAATAAGACTGTAGTTAAAACATGTTTTATAAACTGAGCACTTCTTTTATGAATTATTATAATAGCTCTCAGCTTTACAATGTAACCTACTTGCTTATTCCATATATAATGTCTGCCTATGGAGTTTATATCGCATACCAAACATTCAAAAGCTAATCTGCTTCTTAATATTTAATAGTTTTTAAGAAAGGCTATAAGTTTCAGGACCCGTTTAAAATTTTCTGTCTTAATGGCGCAAAATAAAAGACAGATTCCCGTCTTATGACAATTGTATGTTTTAGTTTGCTGGTCAGTTTTTGATTTTATCTAACGATTCTACAGTCATATCTTTTAAATACTTCTTCAGCTTGGCGATAAAGTTTCTTCTTTCAATTGTTTTGATTGATGTGACGCCATTTTAATTATAATTGTAAATTTATGTTTTTTTTTGGTTTTGCAAGCAGCTCCTTGTTAACTATAAATCGATTGAAAATGACAAATTCTGAATTAATTATAGGTGTTTGGAAATGTAAGCATCAAGCTACTGCCTAAATTTTTAGCTTAGACGAACAAAAGTGACTTTAAATTTCGTCACGTTTGTGATCACAGCTTATGAATCATTGCCTGAGATCACGGCTCATCACTAAAGCATTCAAATACTCGTACTTGTACAGAGACAAACACCCATTCCCACACACACACACACACATACACACACATCTATATAAACCTAGCACTGCAACGACATTGACACAATCTGCGCAAACACGGCAACACTGGTTGCTGCCTCTACTACCTTCCTGGCTGGCTGGTTGGTTGGTTGGGGCGAGGGGCAGAAAGGCTGAAAGGCAGGAGCGACCGGAGCACGAAGCATTCAACGGATGTTTGCTGGAAATTAAATTGTATTATTATGGCGAGACATTCGCATTTGTTGTTGCCGACATTAGTTAGCAGCCGACAATGTTACGCTCTCTGCCATTATTTCAATTTTATAACAAGACCCCGAGGCCGTGCCCGCGCCCGCGCCCTAGCCCGAGCCCGTGCACGATACCCAGCTCTAGAACAGGCCTTCACCTGCCCACCAGGCGACATTCTGCACCGCCCAGGTGTTAAGTTTAAAGTGTTGAGCCACGTAAGCGACAGAAATGATGGTCACCCACACATGCAATGCGCTCATTACATTAAAGTGTCCCCATCCGTGCGTTACATTCAAAAATTAAATGGTCGCCGGGGGCCACACCCAGGCGCCTGCCTACCTGTCCACCTGTCCACCTGCTCGACTGACCTTATCAGTGTGCTGGAGCGTTGGGGCAACTCCCAAAAAAAAAAAAAAACAAACAAAGAGAAAAATTAATAAAGTGGCAGCTGACAAATTTTTGGGCGCGTTTATCAACTGCCTCTGCAAATCATACTAATGCTCTTTTTTTTCTCTCTTCAACAATTTTGCATTTTTATCTTTCCAACAGAATGTCCTTTGGTTGGTATCGTGCCGAAGTCATTGGCGCCATGGCCTCTGTCTTTATGATCTGGGTCATCACAGGCATACTCGTCTGGTTGGCCATTGGACGCCTTATAAGTGGCGACTACGAGGTGGATGCCAAGATCATGCTGATCACATCCGGATTGGCAATTCTCGTTAATGTCATGTGAGTGCAAAAAGTTTCAAATATATATTTCATTTATTCGTAATTAAAAGAAGAAGTTACAAGTAATGGATTTTATTAAAATTAAACATTAATTTGTAGCTCGCATATCAGAAATAATTGTGTATACATAAATATATATTTCATTTATTCACAATTAAAATAATAAGTTGTAAGTAATGGTGTTTATTTAAATAATTAATTTGTAGCTCGCATTTCAGAAATAATTGCTTAACATAAATTCTAAAATTAGGAGAAACCTATTTCAAATTAGACACTTTTTCTCTAAGCAAGCGAAAAATAACTCAGGTTTTGCGATAATTTTAAGAAGTGTACATATTTGGACATAATATTAACTAAAAAAATTAAACTAGTTTCAGACAATTCAAAAAAAAAAAAAAAAAAAATAGGTTGATATACGAGTATGTTGTTGATTAATTAGATTAATTGATAACGTGTTTTATTAAGTTTATTTCATGTGTGCAGTTCATAGGACTTTGAATGTGGACAATTGATAGTTTTAGAGTGATAAATATATATCAGGCACTGTTAGAACTATAATTACAAAATAATTATTACTTTTTAATTATATATTTTTTCTCACAAAATAATGATTTATCTTAAGTTATTCTTTAAGTCATCAATAATCATTATTTTTAAACAAGCACATAAAATTGTTGTTATTTTTGCTCCAAAAAATGGAATTTTGCTAATTTTGTATAAAGATTCTTAAATAATGTACCAAGACAAATTCCTATAGTTGAGTTTTGGGCAAAACAAAAAACACTTAAACAAAATATTTTTATAAGATTAATTACGGCTTACATTGCCAAAACCAGAGCTTCAACTCGATAAATCATAAGAAAATACCTAAATACTATCAAATATATCTAGTATATATTTTAAATTTTCATATTTAATTAAATTTTGGTCATTGTTTAAGGATATATACAAATGTATTCCTTATTCCCTACTAAAAAGGACAAAATTACAATTTGGGTTTTTTTTTATAAAAAAAACTTAATATAATAATATATTATTTTGCAGAAAAATTAAAATTTTGTAATCATGGGGAATATGCATAAATAATACTAAAATAAGAATGTTGGTATCATCCTCGTTTACAGTTATTTTTTAAGAAAATATTTTTTAACCAAAAAAAATCTATATATAGAGGTATATATGTAGATTTGAAGTAAGTTCCTAAAATGTTCGAAATTATGCTTGAATTTCTAAAATATTATCATCTCTTATAAAAGCAACAGGTTTTGGAAACTCCTTGAAATTCAGCGGCAGGTTGAAGAGCAAAATGTTATTGTTTGTAATAGTCTTGAGTGCGATTAGAATCTTTGAAATAATCTTGATATTTGGGAGATTATCGCTGACAACCATAATCTCTTCCATTTGCAGTTAACGAACAAAAATCTATACAAGTATTGCTGCGAACATGTCTAATAATTTTTGCAAAACTCCAGCAAAAGTAGTGACTACCGTGCTGCCAACTTATCAACTTTTGTCAACTTTGCCTCAAGTCGTTGTCTAGTTCTGGGCAGTTTTCCAAAATGGCCGACGGTTTGATTGCGGCAATCAGACGGCACGGACTGCCGGGCCTGACCTGACCGGACCGGACCGGGGCAGGCAAAACTGCAAGCCAACTGCACTTTTTTGGTTACAATTGCATGGCATGCATATGTATGTGTATATATTTTGATATGTGTGTGTATATGTGTGTGTGTGTGTGTGTGTGAGTGTGTGTTTGTGTGTGCGGTAACTTTCTCTACATTTTAGAGACAACTTTTTGCAAGTTTAAAATTTTTGCGTCAACAAAAGGCAACGACGACTTAGCTCGTGTTTTGTGCCCAACTCCCCCTTTTCTGACCATGTTTTTCTTTTCGCTCAGCGCAGCACTTGCACCTGCTGCTGCTTCCACTGCTCCTGCTTCTTTTGCTTGTTTTTGTTGTTGTTGCGGCTGCTGCTCGCTAACTCGCTTCCTTCCTTCCTGCCTGCTAGCTCGACTGGCTGGCTGCCCCATGCGCCGGCTCGTTCATGTGGCTGTCGAAGCATAGTTTTTGGCGCATAAATCGTAGCGTTCAATGCCGTCCCACATGTGTGTGTGTGTGTGTGTGTAAGAGTGTGTTTGTTGTTATAGTAGGAATTGCTTCTAAGGTTCTTGCAGAGCTTAGAAAAAGTAGCAGGTATGGAAAATTTGCAAAATGTCAATCGGATTTCATTTCCAATGTGTGGCTTCCTTGCAATTCGGCTTTAAAAAAAACTTGAATTTTAAAATACATTTAAAGTTTACATTTGTGGCTATTCTGTAAAAAATGATTTATTTAAATTAATGAAATGATTAGAAGCTTAAGAAATGGATTGAAAAAGGCAACTGTGAATGAATAAAGCGATAAACAAAAGCAAAATTGAATTATTTTATTGCTGATTTGATCTAAGCTCAAACTCAATATTAAATTATTACATTTTGTTGATAAATAATTTGATAAATGTGAACTAAAATGAACTAACTATTAATAAAAATAAAAATTATTGTAAAAAGGAACTTAACATTCTTGCTCTTCCAAAATGACACAAAAAAATAGACTTTTATTTGGATGAAAATTAATTATTACAGAAAATAGATTAAATTTATTAATAATTTTTTTAATTCAAATAAGAAATTGCAATGCTATAAAATGACTTTTAAGTAAACAACGATATTATACGAATATAATAAAGCTAATTGCTGTCAATTCTTTCTGTCAGAAGAAGCGATGACCTTTTTGTTGAGCTTAGATTATGACTTTTGGAATCTATTTATTGTATTTATTTATTTAGTTATAGTTCTTATAACTCTTATTCTTCTAATTAATTAAATTATTAGTAATTATATAGTTAGATCACTATCAATATAACATTACAGCATTACCTAAGGTTTCCATTTACGTTTCTAATTTAATTGTATATTTATTTGTTCTATTTTAACTCCACAATTAATTTTACAATTAAATTTTACTTATACATACATATATATATATATATTTTAAAAGTGTTTTTTGCTCCTTTTATTTTTGATATTATGATTATTTTTAGGTTACAAGTATGGAGATGAGCAGCGAATATAAAGAAAAAGGCAGAATAATCTAAATCCTACGCAAAGAATATTATTTGTTTTTATTAATTCTTATTTCATTTATTTATTTAATTTTTAATTGATGAAAACTAGCTTAGAGTTAAAACAATAAGCAGATATGGAGAAGGATATGTATGGACGAAATCTTTTATATTTGTGGAATTCTTTTTTTTTTTAACAAATTCTGGAAAGCTGGGTATTAAAAATAAGTAACAGAGAGCTACAGTTCATAACAATATCTACTATCTAGTGTTTTGAGACAGTGAAAAAGTCATAAAAGTCATCTCCAGCTAATAATGTTAACATTTCTAATCAACTTATAAGCAGCTTTTTTTGGCATCCCACATGGCTTGCAAAGAATTTCTTCTGTTGATTGCCAACAAATTTGTTGGCCTTTAAAACGAAAAAAAATGTTTGGCATATCGGCATGTTGGTTGCCAATGAAAAGGTCTATGAGAAGGAATCTGGGGCTGAGCTGCTGCCCAAAGGTTGATTAAATATTTAGCTTTAATTAGAAATAGGTCGATAGAAATTGCATTTAAGCATTTTCCACTGTCTGGTGTGAGTGTGTGTGTGTGTGTGTGTGTGTAAGTATGTATGTTGTGTTGGTAGTAGCGCAAATTTTCCAGTTGACGTTGGCATTTTCAGTGTTTGCCACTTGAATTGTTTGATTACGTGAATTGATTGTGAAAAACGTGCAACGGCAGCAGTGTGAGGGAGCAGCGTTGAAGCAGCTGTGTGGGGGCATACACAGAATAGCAGAATAGCAGAGGGGAAAGGGGGACTGGGGGGGCAACGGTTGCAGCGGCATTTTCTTCACTTGAGCCATAAAAGAAAGCAAGTAAAGTCAAAACCGCGCCAACGTGTTGTGCTGCACGTCGAACAACGAAATTAAATGGCCACCTTTTATCGTTATGTGAGTTTCAACTTGCTTTTTCAATTGTTCTTGCCGCTGCTGCTGTTCTTGTTGTTGTTGCCTTAACGTCACTGGCGCTTTTTTCAATGGCCCTGCAGTGCGCATAGTTTTGAAGGCTTTTTATTTAGTTTCATTTAGTTAGCGTGCTTTACTTGCAGTTCTATTTTTTAGTTCAATTAGCAAAAGCCTTGCAATAATAAAACAAACAAAAAATATATATAAAGTTGGCGCTTTCGTTGGGTTAAGTGCCAGAGTGGCAACTTAAAGCCATCCCACAACTCGTTAAGGCCATTAAGCTGAATGCACAAACACACAATTCTCACAAAGTCCGGTGCTTTAAACTGCAATTGAGACATTTGCCAGCTGCTGCTAACCTTTGAAATATGTGACTGAGGGCATGGCCATGACATATACACTTCCACATGATGTGCATTATAGACTACAAACTGTTGGCGACCAAGTTGGCTCAAAGCATAAAAGGCAGCATCTTATAAACTCTTTTCAATCCACGGCTCTATTTCGCTGTCAGTAATATGTGAATAATTGCTTTGAAATTAAGTTCGCAATTAAGTTTCTAAGCTGGCTTCTTTCTTGCTAAGTATTAAATGCTTATTAACTTATTAACAAACCTTTTCCTAACGTTACAAGTATCTGATTACTTTTAAGTTCTTAAGCTCGTCATATATTTATTTTATTTTATTTAAAAATATAATTTGGCTTTATTTGACATTAAACATTACAATTTATTATATATATTTTCAAATTTTCTATGTTTTTTTATTATTATTATTATTTCCTTCAAATTTTAAATAAGTTGCCAACTTTCTTCATATTCTAACATAACATTAGGGATTTTCAAAGACCCAGATCTTAGGACGATTGCTAATAGGGCATAGGTATTATATATTTCATTTTACTTTATTTTATTGTAAGTCGATAAACACAAGCTGTCGGCTTGAAAAA